GTAACCCAGGCTGGCCTTGACCTAGTAACTCTCCTCTAGGTCAGCTAACCTCTTCAGCATATCTTAATGATATGTACCAGCACAACCAGCCTAAGTGTTGGATCATTTGTATGATTATTCATTGTATGTGCATGCACCCATGTATGTGCACATTCAGATGCTAGAAGAGGGTGTCAGGTGTCCTCCTCTCTATCCACCTATACCTTGAGGCAGAATCTTTTCTGAAACCTTTGGTTTTCTCAGCTAGGCTGAAAGTCAGCAAGTCCCAGTAATCTTTCTGTCTCTGGTCCTCTCTTGGAGCTGGCATTACAGGAGTACACAGGCTGCCTGACTTGTAACATGGGCATTAGATTTGAACTCTAGTTTTCCTTTTTTTTTTTTCTTTTCTTTTTTTTTTTTTTTTTTTTTTTTTTTTTGNTTTTTTGAGACAGGGTTTCTCTGTAACTTTGGAGCCTGTCCTGGAACTAGCTCTTGTAGACCAGGTTGTTCTCGAACTCACAGAGATCCACCTGCCTCTGCCTTCCGAGTGCTGGGATTAAAGGCGTGCACCACCACCGTCTGGCTTGATCTCTAGTTTTCACAATTGCATGAAAAAACTCTCTTAGCCATTGAACCATTTTTTCAGCCCTTGTATGATATTTATAATATATATGCACATATACTGTGTGTGTTTATAGATTATTTGCTTTATATGTCACTGTGTCACTTGAATATCCTGAAATTATTTATAACTGAACCTTGTTTTAGTAAAGGGCACGTGGAAAGGGAGACAAGTAATTGTGAATCAAGTTTAGACTAATGCTGCTTGAATCAATATTGAAAGCTTAGTGCTGGTGACCTCTAGTGGTTGTTTTCAAATATCAGCGAACACTAAATAATTCTATGATAATCAGATGTTTCATGTGGAATAAATTCAGGAGATGTGTAAAATATGATTCCAGATATTGAAAATCAGCAACAAGGTTGGGTTATACTGAGTTACCAGCTAAAACTTGATAGGTAAAAACAAATTTCTAAGCTTTTGCTTTAGTAATATGTTTGATAATAAATTGCAAGTTAGCCACTTCCCTTTTTACTTTTTTTGTTTCCTTGCTTGCTTGTTTGAGATAGCATATTTCTATGTAGCCCTGGCTATCTGTCAATTCTGTGTGACTCAGGCTGGTCTTGAGCTCAGTTCTAGAATTAGAAATCATGCACCACTATATCTGTCTTACCTTTATACTTTTTAGAGCAGAGTAGTTAAAAACTTCAATTGACTTCAGAATTTTTCTTTAAAAAATTGACTTTTCCTGATGCTCAAAAAATGTTTTCCTTTTGGATGTAGTTTAGTGGGATACTTGCCTAGCACTTCAGGTAGAAAGGAATTGGAAGCCCTACCTTCATTGAAGCAGCCACACCATTCTATTGTAAGATGCCCTCCCCACTTTTAGCTGGTTGAGATGGGTCTTGGCACTTAGCTTTAGGAAGCCTGAAATTCAACATGTGGTTCAGGCCAGCTAAGCGCAAAACTCTTCTGCCTTTAAGAGTTATAAACTATACAAAGCTGGGCCTGGTGGTGTACACCTTTCAAAATCTAATCACCCTGAGTTTGAGGTCAGTCAGGTCAAGATAGAGAGTTCTAGACCAAGCAGGAATGTGTTTGTGTATGTGTGTGTGTATGTGTGTGTGTACATGTATGTGTGTATGTATATAGATAGATAGAGCCTTCAAAGAAAAACTGTATATACATAAGTTACATAAAATGTAATTATAGATTATTTTGGGTGGTATTGACTCTTTTTTTTTCTTTATTGGTTTTTCGAGACAGGGTTTCTCTGTAGCTTAGGAGTCTGTGCTGGAACTAGCTCTTTTAGACCAGACTGGCCTCGAACTCACAGAGATCTGCCTTCCTCTGACTCCCAAGTGCTGGGATTAAAGGCGTGCATCAGCATCTCGTCGTTGTCCCCGTCCCCCCCCCCCATCCTCCCATGTCCCCTGTCCCGTCCCCCTGCGCGTTATTGACATTTTTAACTGTTAAAGTCTTGTTGCATGGACATGGGATGTGTTCATGTCCTAGTTTCTTTCATCAGTTTTTTACATCCTTGGTTAATTCCTAACTATTTTATCCTTTAAAAAATACTTTGTGTGTGTATGAGTGTTAATGTGTGGGTGGGTGCCTAAGCCACATGCATGTTCTTGCATACAGAGGCTGGAGGTTGAAATTGGGAGTTTTCCTCAGTGGCTCTCTTCCAGGTTCATTGAAGCGCAGGGTCTTTCAGTTGAACCCAGAGTTAGCTTGTTCAGGGGACTCTCTGTCTCTGCTTCTGTCTGTGCTATAATTACAGACAAGTGGCCAGCGCCAACCCAGCTTTTGTTTAGGTTTTATATATTTTATTTAGTGTGTGTGCCTGCACCTGTCTTTGTGTGTGTGTGTGTGTGTGTGTGTGTGTGTGTGTGTGTGTGTGCATATGGAGAACAGAGGACAGCTTATGAGTCAGCTCTCTGCTGCTATAGGAGTACCAGGGATCAAACTCAGGATCAAAATCACTTGGCAGTTAGTGGTTTTATCAGCTGAGTCATTTTCCTGACCCCCATTCTATATCTTTTTAAAATTACATTATTTTTATTTATGTGCATATGTGTGTCTGTTTACATGTGTTTATGCCCCGTGTGAATACAGGTGCCCATGGAGCCCACATCTTCAGGAACTAGAGTTAGGTGCCATGGGGGTGCTGAAAATTGAACCCTGGTTCTCTGCAAGAGCAGCAAATGCTGTTAACTGCTGAGCTACATCTACCCCTGTTAAGCACCTTTAAAGCAATTATTTCCATCCCTAGTGTTCTGTGCTACCATCTTTTGTAAAGTATATGGTCTTTGTTATTAGTTTGTGGGCTTTTTATTTAGTTTTATTGGAACATTTTTCTGTCCCTGTATTGATTAGTGTCTTATATCTTTTTAGGTTTTGTTTTTCTTTTATTTGGGTATGTGTTTTAATTCCTTTGATTGTTATATCTGTTTTTAAATCCCCAAATCTATCAACTCTGTCTTCCTATAAAATAAAACATAAATTATATATTTTCTTATTTTAAGAGGGAAGAACCAGGGCACAGGCACAAACAAATTAAAGCAAAACCAAAGCCCAACAGTGTTAGACACTGGGGGACTCCTGATATTTGGGGCTACAGAAAGGTTGGGTAGCTCTCCTTCTTGGGCTTTGGCCTTTATAGCACACAGCTTGTACTCGAGATTCAGGATCGCTCCACCCCACCACTGTCTTTGGTGATCATCCCCTGGTGCTGGTGTCTCCAAACTTCTGGGATCTCTGCTGCACCTTCAGCCGTATCCTCTCCTGACCTCTCTTCAGGGACTTTGACTTGCCACAAGGTGCCAGAGCCTCAGCTTCCCCCATGACCCCTTCAATCCTAGGACTTCTTCTGCATCTGAGGCTGCACCATCACTAGTAGCTTTTCTGGCCTCTCATAGTGCCAAGCCTCAGCTGTACTTCATGACTCGTTTATGCCTTTAAAACCATTACCACCTGAGAGACTGACTTCCACAGTACTAAGTTCAGTTGCCAGCATGAGGTACATACAGCTTTGCCTCTCTCTTGCTCTGTAATTTCTATGTGCTGACCTGAGGAAACATATCCCAGAAGATTTCGACTCAGTGATTCTGGTTGATTTTTAATCATAGCTTATTTTTCAGCCCCAGCAAACCAGAACCCAGAGTCCATTTTTTTTCCCCTCTCTTTTTGGTTTTCAAGACAGGGTTTTTCCATGTAGCCCTGGCTGTCCTGGAGCTCGCTCTGTAGACCAGGGTGAGCTCTAACTCAAGAGATCCTCCTGCCTCTGTCCCCCTCTCCCCAAGTAATAGGTTTAAAGAAGCATGCCACCACCACCACCTGGAAAGATTTTTTTCTTTTTGAGATGGCTTCTCTACATAGCCCTGGCTGTTCAGAACTCACTATGTAGACTAGGCTGGCCTGGAACTCAGAGATCCGCCTGCTTTCCAAGTGCTGGGATTAAAGATTTGTGCTATCATGCCTGGCCAGAACCCAGGTTCTTAATTCAAAATATTAAATGGTCCTGATAAAGCCTTTAAGGGACTCTAACTTGTCTCTGAAACTTGACAAGTCAGGCCTTGCCTCCATCCTCTGCACTGCTTTCGTCATTCTAAGTTCTCATAATAGCGTATTAAGCTCTGAACACTCAATTTTCTTGCCCCTTCAGGCAAGAGCTTTCCACAACTCTCTCCAAAACATGGTCAGGTCTGTCACAGAGCAGTACCCCACTGCTAGCATCATTTTCTCTGTCTTAGGGTTTCTGTTGCTGTGATGGAACATCATGATAAAAAGCAATTTGGGGAGGAAAGTGTTTATTTATCTAACAGCTCTCAGGGTCACAATTCATCACTGAGGTGAGTGGCAGGAACCTAAAGCAGAAGCCACAGAGGAATGCTGATTGATGGCTTGCTCCCCGTCTTCCTCAGTTTGCCTTCTTGGACACCACAGGACCAACCACCTGCCCAGGGTTGGAACCACTCACAATGGGTTGGGTCCTCCCACATTAATCATTATGAAGAAAATGCCCTACAGGCTTGCCTGTGGACAGTCTGATGAGGCATCTACTCAGCTGAGGTTCCACTTCACAAATGCCTCTAGCTTTGTCAGGATGACAAAGTCCCAACCAAGACATTTAGTATCTTTTTTTTTCCCCAGTGTCAGACTGACAACTGAAATCCTCTGTAAATTTTATTTTTATAAAGGTTTATTTTATGTGTATTTATGTGTGTATGTATGTATGCCTTTGTTATTAGAGGCCCTAAAGAATTATAAAGAAATGACCCATTTATGACTCTTTATTTTCAAAGAGGATAATGTTATCTAATGGAAAGTCATTTCTATGAATTTCAAGTCTTGAGGTCATGCATAAAAATGTTGCAGTTGCTTTTATTGTTTTTCCTATTTTGGTTCTCTGTATTGGTTAAGGAAAAATGAAGTAAATGCATCTTAATGTTTTTAGGCACGGATCGCATTTTTACAAGGAGAAAGAAAAGGTCAAGAGAATTTGAAGAAGGATTTAGTGAGAAGAATAAAAATGTTAGAGTATGCATTAAAACAAGAACGGTATGTATATTTCATTTCTTAATGTGACTAGACAGTGTTTTCTTTACATCATTGTACGCTTTAGTAAAGCCTTTTCACATCTTAATTTACTTAATTTGTGAACTTGAAAAGAAGTGAGAAGTAGAATTAATATATTTCAGATTTTTTTTTCTGTCTCTAAAGATCAGGAGAAATTTATCTTTTCATATATGTATATTTGTTACTTGGATAATTTTTCTTCTTTAATAGTACATTTTAGTGTTTTTAGCAAAAAACTTCAAAAAGGGCACATTTCTTTGTTATTAGAGTAATGTATTAGTAATACTCAGTTGTAAAAAAAAATAATTATTCTCTTACCGATTGTTAAATTTGCAGGGCAAAGTATCACAAATTAAAATATGGCACAGAACTGAACCAAGGTGATTTGAAAATGCCAACCTTTGAATCAGGTAAATGTTACTTTGTTTTTTTAAATCACCTCATTTTTATGTAACAGACATATACTTTATTCTAATTTTAATTTTATAGCATTAGATGAATGATTATTATTAAGTAAAATTTGACGAAAGGATTTTTAAAGTTGTATTTTTATTATTTTAAAATTATGTACATGTGTATGTGAGCATGCATATATGTGCACATATGTATTTGTGTCCATAGAGCACAGAAGAGGGCACCAAATTGGTCTGGAGGTGATGTTAAAGGCAGTTGTGAGTAACCCAGGGTGGGTTCTGGGAACTGAACTTGAGTCCTCTGCAAGAGTGATATGGAATCTCTCCAGCCCCTGGTGAAAATACTAAACAAATAAAACTTTGTTTCATTTGCCTCTCAATCCTGAGGTTTCTTATCCAGTTCTCTCTAAAGTGAAACTTATATAAAATTGTAGACACATTTTTGCTAGTAATTAAAATCAAAACCTGCTAAAGTAATTGTTTTTCTACCTGTAAGCAATTTTTGTCCTTTGTGCGATCTTAATGTGCGTAGACATACATGTGTGTATATATGTATGGCATATATATTTGTTTATATTTGGCTAGGTGTGGTGGTACGTGCTAAGAATCCTTTTACACTGGAGGCAGAGTTAGGCAGGTCTCTAAGTCGAATGCCAGCCTGGTCTGTGTAGTGAGCTCCAGCCCAGCTAGGCCTTATGATGAGCCCCCTTCCATGGTTGTTTTTTTCTTCTCTATATATATTTTGTATGTGTAGTAGGAGGTCAGAGGATCATTTTGGGGAATTCTGAACTTTGAGGGTTTTGGGTGAATCTGGCTCAGGTTGCTTGATTTGGCAGCAAGCACCAACTCTAGCTTAATTTTTTTTGTTTTTGTTTTTCAAGACAGGGTTTCTCTGTGGTTTTGGAGCCTGTCCTGGAACTAGCTCTGTAGACCAGGCTGGTCTCGAACTCACAGAGATCTGCCTACCTCTGCCTCCCGAGTACTGGGATTAAAGGCGTGTGCCACCACCGCCCGGCTTCTAGCTTAATTTTTAATACTTAAAATATCCTATTATCAGGAGAAGCTCTAAATTGCTCATTGTAGTTCTAAGATACTAGAAATTTGATTGGATTTGGAATTTATAGTCAGATAAAATTGAGTGTAGGAAAATTGTCTTTAGTTTTCTTCTTTATTAAGTAGTAAATATGAGAGTAATAGTTGATAAATATGTAGCCTAGAGCGGACTGATACAGAAAAGTTTAGTTTTAGAAGTCCATCTAATGGCATAGAATCTAAAAGAAAGAGGACCATTTTTAACATGAGCAGACTTTGGGAATCATTAACAAATTTTTATTTCTTGAGTATCTAGGACTGGGTTACCCCAATTTTTTCCCCTTATTTTAAGACACAGTTTGTGTATACCAGGCTTTTCTTCAACTCCATAGATAATCAGTGGATGACTAGGAATATCTGATCCTTCTCTATTCACCTGCAGAGTGTTGGAATCATGGGCACGGATAATGACAGTGCAGTCAAATTGAAGCCTGTGATGGTCTTAGTAGCTTGCTCCTAAGGCAATTTTTTCTTTATTTTGATATGAATTTTTTTCCTTATAGTGTTTTTTTTTGTTCCTAAAGTCAACATGTATGATGGAAAAATAAAACTTACATAAATGTTTGTAGGTATCAGTAAATTTTTAAAAATACCAGTTGGAGTTTGGTTCAATAATAAATATTATGGGCTTGACAGAAGCAGAGCATAAATCCCACCTGAATTGATTATTTTTGGGTTATCCCTGCTTTGACTTTTAGCAGCAGAACTTTTTTTGTTTGTTTGAGACAGGGTTTCTCTGTAGCTTTGGCACTTGTCCTGGAACTAGATCGAACTGGCCTCGAACAGAAATCTCTAACAGAAATCTCGAACAGAAAGGTGTGCACCACCACCGTTGGACTAGAACCTTTTATTTTATCTTCCAGTTGTCATAAATTGAGATCAAAGTGGCATTCATGTTTTTGAGTGGTTCTATAGGCTCATCTGATTCTGAAGAACACTTACCATGTTCTCCATAGAGAAGTAAGAATAAGAACTGGGAATGGTAGTGTCTGTTTATAATCCCATCAGCACAGGATAGAGGTCAAAGAATCGGAGCTCAAGATCATTAGCTAGTACATCCCTGTCTTAAAAAAAAAATTAAGAATGGAAGGTAGATAGATCTTTGTACATATTTACTACCCATAATTACCACAAGGCTGCAGTAGCAAATAAGGCTCAAAACATATACAGGAAAAACAATAAATTTTTTTCAGAAAAAGAGTAGTTAGTCTATTGCTTGTTTTTGGTTGTTGTTCCTGGAGTAGAGTTTGTGCAATTCTTAGTTTATTTTATTGTAATAGTTTGTATAAAACAAGATCATTAGCTTATAAGTTCCTCCTGCCCATAACTGAAATTATGCTCAGACAAGTGTCTTTTTGTCTATAATATATGTAAGTAAAATAATTTTACTTATATGAAACATAATAAAATGTTTTGCTTATATAGAAAATTATCCAGAATGTTGAATAGAAAACAAAAACAAAGTAAGCAAATACATACCATACTAAGGATAAAATTACCAAAGTATATTTATAGATAAATATTAAATGAAGTATCACTGGTTTATAAACTTCAAATCAATGTAGAAAAGAAAATATGTAAAGTACTGATTTGACAGATGTTGAAGAAACTAATTTGGAAGATATATTCAAATATGTAAATGATTTTCTTGTTTGGAAAATATACAGTTCAATAGAAAAGTGGGCAAAAGGCCCAGGCCTTTAATCCTACCACTCATTCTTTGCATGTAAGGTCAGCCTGGTCTACATAATTGGAATTCCAGGACAGCAAGGGCTACAGTCAGAGATTTGTCTCACAAAACAAAAAAGTGAGAAAGAAAAGGAAAATGGATGTACCTCATGATAGAGGGCATTTTATGGCTAGAAGATGAGAAATGATACTGTTATAATTAAATAAGTGTAGGCAAAACCGCAGTGACTAGAATTTGACCTTTATCGGAATGAAAAGGAGTGTCAAGTGTTGATGGACCTGTGGAATTAGCAGAGTCTGTACTTATTGATGGGAGAGTGGCAAGTAAAGCTAAGGCCCTATAACTGCTTTGTCTCAATTAGGAGAACATAGCCTAATATCTTGGTAATTCCATCACTTAAAATGTAGATATGTGGTCACTACAGCTTATATAAGAATGCCCTTAGTGTAAATATAGTGAAAATCTAGAAGCAACTAGAATGTCTATCAGCACTAAAATGGATAAATATGATACATTAGCAGGCAAAATGCTATCTAGCAATAAAAGTTTAAAAAAAGTAACTATAGCTAAACTTAACAATATGGGTGTCAAGTGTATAAAATTGAAAATTGTTAGAAATCATTTCTGCCATTTACAAGTTAAGTTTTAATGGTTGAGGTAGTGTTAGTGCTGTCTTAGAACAGCTAGTAAATGATTGGAGGGACAGTTTCTAGGGATGCTGCTGTTTGTTGAGCTAGGTACTGATTGTTCAGAAACTCATTAAGATATGTGCTTATGATATACTTCAAAGTTTATAATTGCCATAGTGGAATAATAAGAACTCATTTCAATATGAGGGGGCTGTTTAAATAGATAGTACATTGTGTAAAATACTGTGCTTTTTTTTTTTGTGGTGGTGATGGTAGGGATCAAACCTAGCATTCTATGCTAAGTATTCCATCACTATAATATACCCCCAACTTGATACAATTATTTTCAAGTGATGTTAATGTGTTTTTCTGGAACATTGGCTCCTGTTAGTTATGTATGTATTTTTAAGTAGAAAATACAGAATGAGAAATTCAAATACTAATAGTTGTTAACTTTAGGTGATTGGATTTTCTTTTTCCTCCTGAGACAGGGTTTCTCTGTAGTTTCAGGGCCTGTCCTGGCACTTGCTCTTTAGACTAGGCTGGCCTTGAACTCACAGAGATTCGTCTGTCTCTGCGTCCCAAGTGCTGGGATTCAAGGTGTGCACCACCACTACCAGCTGGTGATTTTGAACAGTTAATTTTTAAAGATGTTTTTGTCTCCAGTTGGTATTGTTTAATGTTATACAAAGAAAAATAAAAGTTGAGAGACTTATCAGAATTAAGTAATTCCTTTTAGAAATTAGAGAATTACTTGTGTTTGAAGGAAGAATAAGAACATAATCAGTTGTTATGGTTAGAGAAGTAGTGGCTACAAAAGATACTGTAATTATTACCAGTAGGTACTAAGTGACTCTTGAGGAGTCTGGGAATGTAATAATTGAATTAGTTTTAATAATCTCATGAGTTAGGGGATTTTTCAAGCATTTCCCTTCATAGTACATTTATTTGGATAATGAGAATCTCTGTGGTGATAATGGTTCTGCTGTAGAGGTAGTTTTTTTAAAGCTTAACTCAACTGAAATTATACTGTTTACTATGTTTAATTCATTGGTAGGGATTGGATCTAGGGACTCTTTCCCCCCCTTTTGTAAATGTAGATACTTTATTAAATAAAATAATGACTCTTTTTACCTGTCACATACACTGTTTTCTGAGCTGAGTATTGGAACACATGCCTTTTAATCCCACTGTTTAGGAGACCTAAATAGGAGAATCAATTTGATGCCAGCTTGGCCTATATAGCATAATAAGGCTCTCTTTCAGTCAGCAAGCAAAGAGTTTCCAAGTAATAATAAACCCACTTTCTGTTTTTGTTTATAAAAGATATTTATTACTAAGCTATAAATTACAAGGGTTCAGTGGAGTGAGGAGGCAAGTCTTCGCTTTTGGATGTCTGTCTGGGACTTGGGTTCTGAGTTCCTCATCAAGGCTCTTTTTACGGAAAACCTTTTGACTACAAGGAGAATGAGCTCCCCTTGGATTTGTCATTCACTTATACTTGTTTATACTTGCTGGACCTGTCTGGGATTCAGTTTGGAGACGTTGAGAATCTGCTGGGCATCCTGGAAGCTGAGGTCCAAGAGGTAGCTGCAGACTTCTTGGCATGTTCCAAGAATAAGTGGCACCTGGATGGCTGCGCCTACTGTCCTAGGGCCTAAGAAAAGGCTCTACCCACCACCTGTGCCCACCACAGTGCTCTGTGTTAGATGCTGTTCAGCAGTCTGCTTTCTTAACCGCATTGGAACCTCGATTTAATATTTTTCTAAAAAAAATAAAATCTGTGGTAGAGAGGTTAATGTCTACTGATATAAATTTAGAATGCAGTATGTCTGTGTATGTACACAGACATAAACATACATATACACACGCATATGTATTTCCCCAGTATATAATTGTTGATTTTGAGTAGCCTATATAATACAACATTTTAATCTTAAAGGTATTTGGCAAAGCAGTTTATTTTGAAGGTCAGGCCTTTTAATTTTTTAATCCTGCTAAAGTTCATTTGAGGTCTTTCGATTTTTAAAGCAGGTAGAGTACTGAGTTACTGAACAAACATTAAAGAAATGATCTGTAGTAGATCTTTTAACCTTTTTTCTGTCTTATGTAAAATCTTTTCACGATAAATCTATTTCTTAAACTGAACACTGTAATAATAAGTTAAAATAATGTATGCAAAACTTCCCATCCTTAATTTCCAGAGGAAACCAAAGACTCGGAGGCTCCTACAGCACCTCAGAATAGCCAGCTAACGTGGAAGCAAGGCAGACAGCTGTTGAGACAGTGAGTAATGATTTCAACTTTTAATAAAAGTTATGAAAGTGCTTATATCAAGTCAGTTTATAAGTAAAAAACTTGCTTCAATTTACTGAACGTTCTTCATACTGCTTTTAAAAAATCCATTTGTGCTGGGTATTGGTGGCACACGCCTTTAATGCACTCAGGAGGCAGAGGCAGGCCTGATCTACAAAGTGAGTTCCAGGAACTCCAGTGCTACACAGAGAAACTCTGTTTCGAAAAACAAAAATAAACAAGCAAAATTTGTATGTATGTGGGGGTGCAGCATTGGTGTGCACCACAGCTGCTTATGGAGATCAGAGGGCAGCTTTCAGCAGTTGTTGCTCTCCTTTCACTTTTGGGTCACAGGGATGGCTCAGGTCATCAGGCTTGGCTGTAGGTAACTTTACCTACTCAACCATAATTAAAGCTTATTTTCCTCTAGCTTCAAGGTAGCTCCCTCCCTCCCTTTTCTCCCCCCACTCTCTCTTTAAAGACACGTATTTATTTATTTATTTATTTATTTAGATATACACTGGGATTTTGCCTACATGTAAGAGGGTGTCGGGTACCCAGGAGTTACAGATAATTATGGGCTGCGATGTGGGTGCTGGGGATTGAGCTCCCCTGAGCCTCCCTAGTCCTTTGGAAGAGCAGCCAGTGCTCCTAACTGTTGAGCCATCTCTCTAGCCCCTTCTCTCATGTGGTTGAAAAATGTGAAAAACTGGATGAAGGCCTGAACTAATGTTACATGGAGCGTGGGGCCCTTTGTTCTGTCCTGGCCACCCGGCTAGTTTACACCTGAAATAATCACACAGAAACTGTATTCATTTAAACACTGGGCCCATTAGCTCTAACTTCTTATTGGCTAACTCTTATGTCTTGATTTAACCCACTTCTATTAAATCTGTGTATTGCTACATGACTGTGGCTTACCCGCAAGATTCTAAGCAGCATCCGTCTCAGGCAGGAGCTCCATGGACTCTCAGACTCTGCTTTCTTCCTCCCAGAATTCAGTTGTCTCCCTGCCTACGTTAGTTCTGCCCTATCACCAGGCCCAAAGCAGTTTCTTTATTAACCAATGAAAGCAACACAAATACAGAAGGAGCTCTTATACCAAACTAAAGTTGAACTAAAGTAGTATTGGGTTGGGCTGTAGGGATGGCTCAGCATTTAAAAGCACTGATTGCTTTTGCAGAGGATATCAGGTTTAATTCTCAGCACCCACATGGTAGCTCATAGCTGGCTATAACTCCAGTTACAGGGGATTTGATGCCCTTATCTGCCTTCCACTAGTGATCTTCATCTAGTAACTGTGTTCCTGCATACTTTTATACATGTAGGAAAAATACCCTTAGACATCAAAAAAATATTGTAGCATCATTCATCTAAGGCACACAGTACTCCAGAGTCAGTGTATGAGAGTATAGAGAATTGTTACTGACTATATGAAACTCCTCAGAGATTGCCTACCAAATTTTCTTCTTTTTAACGCTTATTTTACTTTATGCATGAGTATTTTTGCATCTCTCTCTATGTGTATATATGTATACACCCACATATATAACATATAGATAATTCAGTGTGTGTGTGTATGCCCGGTGCCTTTAGAGGCCAGAAGAGAGCACTGGATCCCACCTTGTGAGTGCTAGGAACTCAACCCAGGACCTGAACAAGATATGTCTCTAGACCTTAATGAAACTTTTGAGGAACAATTTTGATGCTTGTTTATTGATGTACTAGAGACAGCTCTATGGCAAATCCTGTTTATTGTCTTTTTATACAGTGGCTCTTTTTTTATAGTTGGAAATTTTGCTATCTGTATCCTGCTGATAGCCCTGGAGTATATTTGGATCCTTTGTTATTACTTATAACTACTGTACTCCTGTCTGAGCAGGATTGTAATCATGTTTGTTTTGTTTTGATTTTTTGAGGCAGGGCTTCTTTGTGTAGCTTTGGAACCTGTCCTGACACTTGCTCTGTAGACCAGGCTGGCCTCAAACACTCAGAGATCCGCCTGCCTTTGCCTCCCAAGTGCTGGTATTAAAGGCGTGCACCACCAGCATCTGGCGCAATCATGTTTTGTGTTTGTTCGATTTTTCCAAACAAGGTTTCTCTGTATAGTCTTGGCCATCCTGGAACTCACTCTGTAGACCAGCCTCAAACTCAGAGATCTGCTTGCCTCCCTTCTTGAGTGCTGGGACTAAAGATGTGCGCCACCATTGTCTATATGTGTTCTTTTTTTTCTCTCTCTCTCTCTCCTTTTTTTTATTTTTTTAATTTTTATTTTTATTTATTTATTTTTTGGTTTTTCGAGACAGGGTTTCTCTCTGGTTTTGGAGCCTGTCCTAGAACTAGCTCTTGTAGACCAGGCTGGTCTCGAACTCACAGAGATCCGTCTGCCTCTGCCTCCCAAGTGCTGGGATTAAAGGCGTGCGCCACCACCGCCCCCGGCCATGTGTTCTTTTCTTCACTTGAACTTCTGTGTTATTCACCATTTAAATGGGCTCTCGTTGATTGACCTACACAAGCACTCATATACTGATCCAAAACCAGGCCAAATGGCTCCCAACATCTATTTATATGGCCCCCAGTGGGGCTTCAAAACTCAAGTACTGCATCTCCGCATAGTGTATATCCTTTCAGTAGTGTTCCTCTGCTTCCACTTGACTAAAAATGTGAAGAGTATAAGATTAGAACTCTTTTAACTTTTTACTTTTTTTCCTATATTATGTTTAAGCTTCTTAATTGTTATCCAGTACTCAGATTCTTGTAAATGACTAAGAACAGAGTTTTGATGGGAAAAGGGACTAGAATAATTGGCAGACTTGAAGGAAACACTCAATGATACATATCAAGTCAGGTAGTTTTGGGGAATTTGCAGAGAAAATCCCAGGATACAGTTTTAATCTCGTGTCTGGTCATCCACTTCTCTTTATTGGTTTTATTCTCTTTTTCTGAAGAAAATCTGCTTGTTTCCTTCATGCGATAGCTTCCCAACCTCATTTCTCAGAAGTGTTCGAAATAGTCTAACTTAATCCAGCAGTGACTCAGTCATTTTTATCCAAGTTGTATAAGAATTTGGCAGTTCATTTAGTCCAAAGTTTAGAGACTGGGGTGTTGAGGTAAGGAGGCCGCTTGTTTGTTTCCCGATCACCCAGCAGCTTAGACCTGAAATAATCACACGGAAACTATTAATTAAATCACTGCTTGGCCCATTAGCTCTAGCTCCTTATTGGCTAACTCTTACATCTTAATTTACCCATCTTTACTAATCTGTGTATCGCCATGAGGCTGTGGCTTACCAGGTAAAGTTCCAGCGGGGCTACATGGCTTCTCTCTGATTCTTCCTCCTTTGTCTCAGCATTTAGTTTAGTTTTCCCCACCTACCTCTATTCTGCTCTGCGCAGGCCCAAGACAGTTTCTTTATTAGCCAATGGTATTAACAACATACAGAGGGGAATCCCACATCACTGGGGTAGGGAAAGGAATTGTCCACCACATGTAGCATTGTTAAGAGTAAAGAGTGGGCATGGCTGTAAGGAAGTCATTATTTCTTTCAAATGCTAATCTCCGTGGAGTCTTAAACTTTCTCCCTTTATTTTTATAGCCAAACTGTTTTTGAAACAAGATTGTTGCATGGTACCCAAGGCTTGCTGCCTTGCATTCCTGGTCCTGCACTTTTGGGGGATAGTTTATTTCTGTAGCCTTTATTTTTGTTCTTTGCTTTGCCTCCTGAATGCTGGGATTTCAGGAGTGAATCACCATACCTGCTCTAATCTTTTTGTTTAATTGCATTTATTTGTGCATCAAAAAGTTTATATTGCTTATTTTCCTTGTGTTTATTCTCTTTTCTAATTTATTTGTTTGTTTTCTTACTTTATTGCTATTCTAATCATTCTTCCTGTTTTTAGCTTTTCCTAAATTTATTTTAGTTGTTTACTAAGAGTGTTTAAACATAAATTTTGATAAAATGTTTACGTATGTGTGCCTGATTATATGTACACTATATGTATACAGTGCCTGTTAAGGCCTGAAGAGGGCGTCAGATCCCCTGAACTGGAGATCTAGATGGATTGTGAGGCATCTGATGCAGGTGTAGGAAACTGAACCCAGATCCTCTACAAGAACAGCAAGTGCTCTTAGCCCCAAGCCATCCCTCTAGCCTCAAGACTGTTGTGAGCTGCCATGTGGGTGCTGGGAATTGAACCTGGGTCCTCTGGTTAAGAGTAGTCAGTATTCTTAATTCTTTTTAATTTCTCGAGACAGGGTTTCTCTAGCTTTGGAGACTGTCCTGGAACTCACTCTGTAGACCAGGCTGGCTTCAAACTCACAAGAGATTTGCCTGCCTTTTCCTCCTAAGTGCCGGGATTAGAAGTGAGCATCACCACTGCCTGGCTTTTTTCCCCCTTTCTCAGTATTCTTAATTCTTAACTGCTGAGCCTTTTCTCTAGTCCCCAGTATGTTAAATTTTAATTTTTAATTTTCTCTTGATAGGTATCTTCAAGAAGTAGGATACACTGATACAATATTAGATGTACGATCTCAGCGGGTAAGGTCATTACTTGGACTGTCTAATTCAGAACCAAATGGATCCGTAGAAGCAAAGAATTTAGAACAGATTTTGAATGGTGGTGAATCTCCTAAACAAAAAGGACAAGAAATCAAAAGGTAAGATTTGTATTTGTAGATGAACATTGTTTAACTTAGGGACAACAAAAGTCCAGTGGTACAGCAGAGACTTTTCATTATGAATCTCATTTTTAGCTATGTTTTCTAGAGTTGTTCCTACTGTTAGACATTAAATGACTGTATGAAAGCCCCTTTTTGTTTGTACATACAGGAACTCAGATTAGTCTTAGTAAAATGATTAAAGTAGATTATTGCTATTACTTACTATATGAGTAGTTTTGAAATACTTGAAAATATTTTCACAGATTAAAGATACCTTTTTTTTTTTTAATATATAGGAAATCAATAAAACAGATTGGTGTCTTTGGGGTCCCGGAACCCTAACTGGGTGGTGGCTGTATGAAGAAATTACAGACATTGGATACTTACACACAGAAAAGCTGGGGTGGTTGCTCAGTGTGTTTAGTATATACTACTGAACCAGGAAGCAGGGGTTTATGGTATGCAACCGAATCAAGGAGACACATTTCGCTCATCTTGGTCAGAGCAGTCTCTTCAGGGGAGCATTCTTCAGGCCATAAGTATCTGTGGTAGGGGGTTAGAAAATTGTATGCATTTCTATTTCTATACACACTGTCAACATTTGCAATTGGATCAGAGGAAGGCTTGCCATCCCTCTGAGCCTGATACTGAAAAGGGTTGCCACTCCATGGAATTGAGACTTTGGTCTTTGACATTGCTCGTGTCTATATTATTGTTTTATTTTGAGACAAGGTTCTCTAGGTAGCCCTGGCTAGCCTATTACTCACATCTTCCTGCCTCTGCTACCCAAGCACTGGGATCAAAGGGTGTACATCACAACAAAGCCTGGCCAGTTCATGTCAGCAGCACACATCTACACAGGCTTCCTCTGCTCCCCACAGATTGGTATGAAACATATGTTTCATAAATTTAAATATGGGCAACTTTAATAAATTTAACTTTTGTGTTTCACTGTTTAGTCTTTAAACATTTAGACTAAAGTATAGGAGGTTATGAAAAATTGCAAAATTGCTTGTGCTGGTATTTTTGAGAAATGATAACATGTTTGAATGTTTAAACTTACTAGATTGTTTTTCTTTTTAAAGTCTTAATTTGTGTGTGTGTGTGTGTGTGTGTGTGTCTGTACTTGTAAAACAGATGCCCAAAGAAGGCATTATATCTCCAAGAGCTAGAATTTCTGACTACTATTATGAGACATCCGATGTGGATGCTGGGAGCCAAACTCAGGTCCCCTGAATGATCTCTTATTTGTACTTTTACCTCCTGAGCCATTTCCAGTTCCCAGATTTTATTTTCTTGTAGCATTTACCTAAGATTTTTTAGACAGAATGCTTTGGATGAGCTCAATAAATAGAGAACAATGCTTATTTTAATTATAATCTTTTAAAAACTATTCTATAATAGAAAGTTTAGGCAATATGTTATAATTAGATTGTTTTGACCCAGCAGTGGTGGACTAAGCCTCCTCATGGGAGGATCAGGAATTCAAAGTTATTTTCATCTACACAATGAGTTGAGACTAATCTGAACTATGTAAGACCCTGTCTCTCAGCAACAAAAATTTAAGTGGTGTTTGAATTGCAACAATTATCCTTAAGTAGTTTTAGAAGGAATTAGAAGGGTCAGAATGTGGTTCAGCAATTGAACACTTGGCCTAGCATGTGTGACACCCTGGGTTCAATTCCTAGTACCACTAGATCAGGAAAAGTATTAAAGTAGTATGCAGGAAGAAATAGTAGAGTCAATGATTGAAGTAGTTTGGAATTATCTTTTTCTTTTTCTATAGGCCATCTGGTGATGTTCTTGAGACATTCAATTTTTTAGAAAATGCTGATGACAGTGATGAAGAAGAAAATGACATGATTGAGGGCATCCCAGAAGGAAAAGAGAAACTTCGGATCAATAAGCACAAAGTAGGAGATTTACATCATTTTCTGTATACAGTAATTTGAACAGTAATTTTTTTTAGGTGTCCTTTGAAGCATTAATATTGCCAGCTACTCCTGCATTATATACAAATGCAGGAGTTATGATTTCATATTTTAATCACTAAATGGCTTAGAAAAGGTCTTTTTCATGTATTTGTCCAATCCTATGAAACTTTTTAAAAAAGAAGTGGCATACTTTTTAGTCCTACAATCTTTTAACAATTTGGAGTCACACTGAAGTTTATCTTGCTATCTATCGCATGGGAGGTAAATGAACAGTGTAGATACTCCCAACGTGGGTGAGGGACTGATAAGAATTGTAAATATGTGTTAATATCCTGATTATTTGGTAAGGGTTAGCAAAATATACTAATATTTTAGTAGTGAATGGAGAGTTAGCTCTATAGGACCAAAAGTAGAATATCCCCATTTGTAAACATCAAAGTAGTATTCAGTATTTCGTGTGTATGTCTTTAAAAAGAATAAAAAAGAGTGAGGCCCGAGGTTGTAGGTTAAAGTATCCCATAAATTAGATGTGGTTCAGCACTTACGAGGTGAGGCCAGGAGGATAGAGAGTTCAAGGCTGCCCTCAGCTAGATAGTGAATTTGAAGTCATTTGGCTTCTTGATACCCTGCCTATCCAAAAAAAAAAAAAAAAAAAAAAAGAAAGAAAAGAAAAAGGAAATAAGTGAGTAAATTCAATTGTGGCACTTTGAGTTTTTGCAATCATATAGAAAAAAATGCAATTATTTCTCAAAAACTTAACCTTTCTGAGCTTTTCATATGTGTGATGTACTTTGTGGGTGCATGGAATTTTTTTATTTTTTAAACTTATGTGTGTTAAAATCTGCATATTTGCCACAGCACAAGGAAGTTAGGACAGTTTTGTGGAGTTAGTTTTTTCCTTCCACTTTTATGTAGTTTATGAGGATAAAACTCAGGTCATTAACAGGCATTTTTCCTGCTGAGACACCTCAAAAACCTGAGATTTTGTTTGTTCTGGGAGGTAGGATGCTTTTATTGTATGTTGCACAACCAATTTCAGTTGTTATGCTATGCTGCCATGAGTGATGGCACACAGTTAGCAGTGTGTTCAGCCAGTTAACTTAGCAGGATGCGGTGAGCAGACGACGAGTAGGGATCATCTGTGAGCTTACTCTAATTAAAGATCACTCCTGAGGTTAAAACTTGGATCTTTCCTAGCACTACATCTTGTGGGTCACTTTTTGCAAGTGATCTTCATACAGCATGTTGAACTATTTGTCTAGGGCATAGTTTGAGATTTGTGAATTATGGGAAAAGTACAAGTGTGGATCTGGATAATTTCAAAGTAGATTTATAAATATTGTGAAGTGAAAATATTAAAGGTCCTCTTTATAATGAAGAATTAGAAGTAGTCCTTATTAGCTTATTTTCTCTTTACAGATAGGTAATGAAGGTTTAGCTGCTGACTTAACTGATGATCCTGATACCGAGGAAGCACTGAAAGAATTCGACTTTTTAGTGACTGCAGAAGATGGTGAAGGGGCTGGTGAAGCACGGAGTTCAGGGGATGGTACAGAATGGGGTAAGGGGACAAAGAAACCTTGGGTGGGAGGAAATGTAGCATTTCTAGGTGGTTATTATTAAACATTGTGTGTGGGATCTGTGTGTCTGAGTGTATGATAGCAGGTGAATTGAGAGCATTTGGTGTTGGTAATTTGAGGCATTTGGTCCTAGTCTATTAGATTTTGTGACAGATTTTCAGTAGATGGCTTTTGACTTCAGAAGCTGATCTGGAATGTTTTGTTGATTTTTTTTTTCCTCCTAACAAATTTTTTTAAAACAAGAATTACTCAGTTTTATTCATACACATCATTTAGTTTTATGTAATCAAAGCTTTATGAAAACATACTTCCTCATATGACCATATGGTGTTACCTATCTTAGTGGTAGGTAGGAATAAATTAATCTGATTTATAATCCTAATAATGAGCAAGATTTAGTGAGGGTATTAAACTTATTGCCTATAATATTCTGATTACAAATGTGAGGGCCTAAACTTTGAAAGTGATATTTAAAGCTAATAGTAGGCAATGTATAATCAAAAGAAAGAAAGGTGTATCAGTAGTTAAAAACCCTATTTATATACTTATAAAACAAATATATCAAGGTAATAGCTTAAAATGTGTTTTTTCCATTAGTATGTTCATTTAGCTCTTGTTTAATATTATCTAGTAGGTGGTAGAACTCAAAGTATATTTATAGAGCTTTTTGTGGAGGTTAGTTTAATGCATCTAGAAATATTTATCACTAGTTTTTTTTTTTTTGTTTGTTTGTTTTTAAATCACTGTGGTGTTAGTAAAACACACTTGGGCTGGCCATGGTGTCACATGCCTTTAATCCCAATACCAAGGAGGCAGAGGCAGGCAAGTTCAAGGCCAGCCTGGGAGTTCCAGGCAGGACAACTAGGGCTATACAGAGAAACCTTGTTCTCAACAAATGAAAAATAGAAAAAGAAAAACATACGATTTTTTAAAAAAATGTTGGACTAGCAGGATGGCTCAGTGGTTATGAGCACTTGTCTTCCTGAGGATCAGAGTTTGGTTCCTAGCACTTGGTGACAGCCACCTGTAACTCCCATCTTCTGGGATGCTCTCATTTATAGCTCAAATATCATTTTTAGATTTATTTCAGAGAAGAAATAGAAGGGGCATGTTTATTGAAAATATAGACTCCACAGTTACTATCTGGACTTTTGTACGTGTTTGTATTTTCTTGAAATGACTGTATTTTAGGAGATTATTTGTTTATAGGAGAAACAGTAAAAGACATGTAAATTTATATGTAGCCTATTAAATCTTGGACTGTAGTTTCCCTACAACTTTAAAAGTACTGGTTCTTTTTCCTGAAAATTTCAGTCATGTAAAAGTAGAAATTATATACAGATATTTTATAGTATATGTGTATTTTAGGGACCATAAATAAATGTCAGTTATAAAATTAGAAATCACTTACAATATTATAGAGCTAATCATGACTAAGTATGTATATCTATACATATAATCTACTTACTTAAGAGTGTGTTGAACATCTGCTTAGCTAAGTCTTGACACTCAACCATTTCTGTTTATCTAAAGTGGCTAGAATTTTAACTTTTAGTCCAAATGACAAACATCTCAGAAATTTAATTTGTGTGAAATGGGATTATTTCTTTAATAAGGTCAGGTGCAAATGAGTAGTCCTTTGTTTAGAGACTTGACCGTAGTTCTAAAGAGGACTTACTTGGTCAATGAGTGGCAATTTACCTACCACTACTTGACCTTTATTCTTTTTTAAATTTCCTGGAAATAACTAGGAAAGCCTCTTAGTACCCAAAGAGATTGGAACTTTGAGCAAGTAGTTTCTGTATAAAAGCAAAAAGGACATTGCAGTGTTTCTAAAATTCCTCTATTCAACAGCTATCATGTTCATTTTTTTTGAAACTTAAGAGCGTGCATGTAAAAACACTGCCTTTATTTTTAATTCATTTGCTCAAGTTTTAATGATTTTTAAATAGGAAGATTTTTAGATTGAAATGAAAGTCTTGAACATACTCCAGAATCTTATATTATGAAACCACTGCTTCTAAAGGAAGCTTATAAGTCTTGTTCTAACACTGTTATTTAATTAGATGATATAGTTTAATTTTATGTTCTTCACAATTAAAAGTACTAGCTGGTATGTCATTATTTGCCTTTTTCTCGTGGAGATATATGGCATTTTAAGAATATTCACTTATTTTCTTCAACTTTAAAAATATGATTTTTGGACTTATTAGGATCACAAAATGTAATTAATATCTGAATGTTGATATTTACAGACAAGGCATAAAGTGTTATTTTCATAAAGTGAAGCTATTTAAAAATTTATGCTATGGTTAATAGGTTTGTATAATTTTGCTTTGGTGATCAGAATTACCATAATGGAATGTCATGGTTTTGTGGTTTCACATTGTTTGGAATCAACTTTTTTGTGCATGCTTGTATTTTCTTTTAGGAAAAAAAAGGTTCCCATAATTGATTCAACTTCATTTCTTGGTATCCCCCCTAGATTTTTTAAAACAGGATTAATATGTAGAAGATTATCCTGCCTCTTCCCTTTTGCTATTACTTATTTCTTATAAGCAATATCAAATCATCTGTTATTTACCAGGCAAGTTCCAGGATGTTTTTGTACACATATGCATCCACCAACCTGTTCTTTGCACCGCCTTAGTTTACTTTTGCTTTCTAGATTCGAGGTTATCTTGCAAGTAATTTTCATTTTGGTTTGTTGTTGTTGTTTTTTTTTTAATTAGTTTATTTATTTATTTTGCTTTTTCACTCTACTCTTTACTGCTGTACTTACAGCCATTTACAGCTTCATTCTTGCTGCACAGACTTAGAAAATTGGTCCTTATAATTAGTTTTTTTTCCTGTGTAAGGTTTTGTGCCACTTAAGTCTCAAGGGTTTTTTTGTTTTTGTTTTTAATAAAATCTCTGGCTGTAAAACATACTACTTTTAGGTTGTGCTAATTTGACCTAGTGTAAGTAATAGACAACAGGAACTATTAGTGTCATTAAGATGACTGTATGAGATGGTCTTGAGGTGTGAGCCCATAACTACAGCCAGTCTGAGACAGGAGGATCATGAGTCTGGACTAGTTGGTGTATGTTCTAAGACCCTGTCCTCAAACAAAAGAGAGAAATTCACATGACTCAGGCCATGTTACTGTGTTCACATTATTCAGTAAATGAACAGGATTCTTGATACAGCTTAGTTTTCAGGAAACCTTTGTGATTAGAGTATATTAAAAATTCGTTTTCTCTTAAGAAAATATTTAAAAACTGCTACAATCCAAGATTTGACAATACTAATCATAAAGATACTAATCTTCAGTAAGTTAGTTTCAAGTACCAGAATTTAGCAAAATCTTTTCACATACCAACTACTTTTGATGGTATAACAAAGGCATAACAATTGTAGAAGAGAACTGAGGTACAGGAGCTCTTTGAATTTCTTCTCTCTGCTCTTCTAACAAGAGCTCTTGTTAGGCTTGCTTTACACATCAATCTAGAGGTGCAGGAAGGCCTTTCCATGATTACGGGAGGCCTAGGGAGCGTTTGAGAACCTGAGAAACAGCATATGCTTAGTTAACACAATTTACAACTAAAATCTTATTATTCGGTATACTTTATTTAAAAACTAAGTGTTTGGGTATAATTTTTATTTAAGAGGACTCTAAAATAGTCTGTAACTGTTATATTTAGTAATAATAAGATTGCCTTAAAACTAAATGAATGAAAACCCTCAATTAGTAAAATAGCTCTAAGAAAAGCATTTTTATACTGTCTTTTTAAGATTTCTCTAGTTTATTATGAGTAGACTTTCCCCACCAGGCATAAGTATTTACTTAAATATTGCTGAAAACACACACAAGAAAGAGTACCAAGTATAAAGCAATGTGTGTTTTAACTTCTTTGTGCTTGTCACTGTTTTACCCTCAAAAAAATTCAGCTCAAATCAAGACTTCGGTGGAATTTGAACTTTCTTATTTGTTTTATTTTTATTCTGTTATTTTGCTAATCTTTAGTTCAGTGGAAAAAGGTAATGAAATGTTGAAGTGTTGGGAGGGGGTGGAGACAGAGGTGGCGTTCTTTGAATGCTTTGTGTGAATTACTTGAGACATTGTATTTGGGAACTATGTGTATTACATTGGATTAGAATGTCTTTCTATCATACAGTTATCCTGTGCATGCAGAATTAGCGTGACAGGAATGCATGACTAATTTCATCAATGAAATGGCACTGACATTATAGCTTGCATTTTATTATGAATTTGCATGCAATTCATTTGTTTGCTTATATGATGCTGGCTGAATACTTATTAACATTTTTCTAAAGATGCAGTGATCTATTTTTTAATATTAGATTTCTAATGTTAGTCCAGTGATGAAAGACTATTCCTCACATTTGTGACACAAAAATGAAGTATTGTTTACCTGTGGATGATATTAAATGCTTAGGAACTTAAGGACATTTAGTTGAGTTGGGAACTACAAACTGAGACTGCACCTTTAAAGTGTCTTGAGTATATGCCATTACAATATCTTTATTATGATGATGTAAAGCTTTAACAGTTTACTGCCAACAGCTTGCATTGCCAACTGCTGATTTTTTTTCTTTTAATAATATGCTGCATGTAGATAAAGATGACCTCTCCCCAACTGCTGAGGTTTGGGATGTAGACCAGGTACTAATAAGTAAACTGAAGGAACAGTACAAGAAGGAACGAAAGGGGAAGAAAGGGGTGAAGAGTAAGTGCAGATTATGACTATTATCAATTTTGTATGCTGATATTAAGAAAAAGATTTTTTGATGAAATTTTATTTTTTGTGTCATAAAGGGAGCAACTAACTTTAAACTTTGTCTGTTGTATAATTAAAATTTAGGTCAAATAGAAACGTACTTTAAATATGTAACATAAAGTTGAAAAGATTTTCAAAATTTAAAGCTTTATCAAATTAAAAGGAATATTGTCATTGGTATTCAAAATAATTGAAATTTGCTCAGAAGGGAGTACAAATAGTATTTTCCACACATAGATATTTAAAGGTATTTCTAACCCATAACCAGCGTTTGTTTGGGGAACCTTAAGCACAGTGGGTAGGAAATGACTTCCCCTGGCTTTTACTTTTTGGTTATAATCCAGTGATAATTACTGGCCACATGTTTTTTTTTTCCCACGTATTTTCTTGAATATACTACTCAGCAAAGGCCAGTGGTGCATAAAGTGGTGTGCTAATGAGGATTATTCGGTGCAGAGTTGGCTGTTTTTGAGTGCTGTTGTCACTGTAGAACCTCTCAGAGAAGTAACTTTATATTTTGTGAATCACACTTCAGAGCCCCCAGGGAGAATCCTCATACTGGTGATACTGAAAGGAGACTTAGAATTTGTTTTGAAAAATTTTCATTTTGGATTGGCTGTAGACTTCTAGTCGAACTTTTATTTCTTTTACTGTATCAGGAGTATTCACTGCTCTTGCAGGGGACCTGGTTCGGTACCCACATACAGGGCATCTACCAGCCAGCTACCGATTGAATCCCAGAGGGTTTGGTCCCCATTTCTGGCCTTAGCGGTACTGCTTCCACATATATACAAACATTCATGCATGCAGGAGAAATATCCATACACATAAAAATAAATAAATCTTGCCAGGCACAGTGACACATACTTTAATCCCAGCACTCACAAGGCAAAGTGGAGGCAGGCAGATCTCTCTGAGTTCAAGGCCTTCCTGATCTACCTGGGGAGCTCCAGGCCAGCCAAGATTGCATAGTGAAAACCTGTCTCAAATAAATAAAATAAAAACTAAAAAGAATAAAGTAATAAGAGTGTCAGCGAAAAAATAGTACATAACAGAGATTGAGACATAAAGACATTCTCCCTGTTCCCTTTTCTGGTGACAGACATGCTAGTTTATAAAATGGCAGGCCTATCAGAAACCACTTTTTCTTCGATAATGGAGTTCTTGAGTACTTTAATTTATTGTGGAGTTAACTAGAATTTTGAGAATTTCACCTGTTAGTTCCTCCCTCCTCCTTTTTTCCTCACTTCCCTCTCTCCAAATCTTTATGCTTGCTAGGCAAGCCAAGCACTTTATACTAAGTAACCTGCCAGTTTTCTTCTATAACTTTGTGCTAGCTTGTGTTAGTGCATGTGAATAAAAGGACAAGCGATTTTTAGGACAATTCAGACTGTGTTATGAATTACACAGCATTAAGAGGGGCTGTGTTGAGTTTTAGCATCATTTACCTCTAATGCGTGCATGTTGAGTATGAAAGCACTATTGCATGGTTGACTTCAGTTTACTCTCCTTTAATCCTAGTCTACAAGAGCTAGTTCCAGGACAGCCAGAGCTACCCTGTCTTTTAAAAAAAAAACACACACAAAAAACTAATAATTAAATAAATGAAATAGCTTATTTAAAAAACCTAGAGGTTATTTTAATTTAATATAGCAGGTTATTTTAATTTAATATAGAAGTATCCCCCCACTTTTTTTTTTTACTGGCAAACGTATTTTCTAACCTTTCTTTCCTTTCTTCTTCTCTCCCTCCCACTATGTAGACCAGGCTAGCCTCAAATTCACAGAGATTTTCTTGCCTCTGCTTCTTGAGTGTATGTGCCTGTAATTCTAACATTTAGAAGCCCCAAGCAAGACCATTTTAAATTCAAGGCCAGCCTTGGCTATAGACCAACTTAGCTACGTATATAGTGAGACTTTTTTATTTGTTTTGTTTAAAGGTTTTAAATATAAAGACAAAGTGAAATTTAACCATTACTGCTTGTCAGAAATTAACTGCATTTAAAATATTTGCATGTAACCATGTTTTCCTAAAATTTTGAAATAATTTTATGTATAAGTTTCTTATATTTTCCAACAAGAATATCTGTCATATGTGTTTTATTAGTTTTTTGTTTTGCTGATATTTAGACATTATATAATTTAGACATAAAGTTGAGATTTTACAAGAGGTATTTTAACATAGACTTAATTTAAGTATGAGGATTTAAGAGAAAGGGAGGTGCCCAGAAATAAAGGAGGATGTGCCCAAGAGGTTGGTTGTAGGCCTCCCTTATGTGAGTTTTGTTTTGAGGCAAGGCCTCAATCTAGCCCAGGCTGCCATCGAACTTGTTTTTCTTTTGCCTCTGTATTCTTCAGTCTAGTGCTAAGATTATACATGTGTGCCACCACCCCCAGCTAGAGTGAAACTTTATGGGAAGTGAACTTTGGTTTTTGACCATGTTGAGCACTGAACCTTAGGTTTTACATATGGAAATGCTTACTGCTGAGCTACATCCTTAGCCCTTAAAGTTTCTTAGTTTCTAAAATCTAAATTTTTGGTGTTTGAACAATATTTCATTTTCGTGCATTTAGCCTGGTCTATTAGTTAAACTTTAAAGTTGTTTCTGATTTTTAAATATTTATGTAAACATCAGCTTTTAAGATTATCTATGTAAGGGGACATAGGAATTAGGCTTACAACAGAGGGTGTCTTAGGAAATTAATAGAAATTACTTACCCATTTCCTTCATGGAATTATAAATTAAAAACCAATAAATTGAGAATTCAGTAGGAATCTTTCTTGTAGATGAAATTTAAGGAAAAACAGTAGTGTCCTAGCTAGAGGATATTTCAGGAGCCCAGTGAATACCCAGTGCTGCAGATTGTAGGTCTGTTTAAATATACACACGTATGTAGATACTTGCTGGTCAGCTTTCCATCGTGTGACAACACACATAAAATTCACAGTTTCAGAAAAGAACGAGGGATAGTGGCGTATACATGAGAATGAGAAAAACACTTTTTTATTCGTTTTAAAAATCTCAATTCCACCAGACAGTGGTGGCACATGCTTTTAATCCCAGCACTTGAGAGACAAGAGGCAGGCAGATCTCTATGAGTTCAAGGCCAACCTGGCCTAGAGACAGGACAGACTCCAAAGCTACAAGCGAAACTCTATGTTGAAAAACTAAAACAAGCAAGCAAGCAAACAAATAAATAAAAACCTCAATTTCAGCCTGACAGTGGTTGCCATGCCTTTAATACCAGCATTCCAGAAACAGAGGCAGGTGGACCTCCAATTTCCAAAACATCCAGGGCTATACAGTGAAACCCTGTCTACAAAACAAAACAAAAAAGGAAAAAAAAATATAAAAGGGCTGAAGAGATGGCTAAGTGGTTGAGAGCACTTCCAGATTTCTTCCAGAGTCCTGAGTTCAATTCCCAGCAACCATATGGTGACATACAACCATCTGTAATGATACGTGGCGTGGTGGCATCTTCTGGCCTGCAGGCATACATGAAGACAGAAAATTATACATAGTGAATAAGTAAATCTTTTTTTAAAATTCTTAATTTTAAGAATTTTTCTAGCTTTTGACATTCTCCGTTTTTTTATTTTTATTTATTTATTTTGCTGCATGCATTAGCTCAGTAAAGCTGTGTAAATTGATCATGATTAAACATCACATAGTTTGTAGCATTTGAAGTGTTTTATGCTTGCTTATTTCACATCCAAAATCTGGAAACTTTATTTAGAATATAAAAATCTCTTAAAGATTTCCTTTGTTCTTTGTCTTTAAACGGAAGAGTGAAACTTCATTATTATTCCCCTTTAATATGAGAGTAATTCTTGCTGTCCTTATTCTTACAGCCACTTGTTATTCTTGTGCCACGTAAAATTTGTGTTGAATTGAGAACTGAGAATGTAATTCTGTTGGTGGAGCCTTGAGTTCTGTCCCCAGTACCACATAAAGCATAGTGTGGTAGTGCATGTTTGTATTCCCAGCTTTCGGGGGCAGGGAGACAAGATAGAAGTTCAGTGGCATAGAACGTTTAATGAGGCCAGCCTGGGCTCTATGAGACCCGCCTCAGATTTTTTGCATCTTGAGACTCTACATCTGTTTGCAATCTTGGTTATTTAATAGAACAACTTGTTTTACTTTTTCTAGTTAATCTCATGTATAGTAATATTAGAAATAAATTCAGGCTTGCAAAGAAAGAGATCACAACCATTGCCAGTTAAGTATCTGGACAAGCCAGCTTTACTCTTGGTCGAGAAGGCGTTCTGAAGAACAGAACTCATCAAGACAGAAAGTATACTTGGTTTTTATTCCAGTGCTAGTGGCAACTGTATCTTTTCCCAGTCAGCTGGGCTCCAGGTGGGGTCTTACTTAATTGACTAGGCTTTTAAGAACTGAGGCATAGTAAATGAAGTGGGGAAGGGGTTAGCCTCTTTAATTGGAGAATATAGCAGAGCCTTTAAATAAGATTAGAGGATTAGATTATATAAATTAATATAAATTCAATTATAAATTAAGAATATATTAATTATAAATTAGAATATTTGCATAAAAGTCTTGCAAGGTGGGGGCAATAAGATGATTTTTAAAGATTCTCTGCTTTGTAGAGCAAAGACTATGGTCTCTGGTTATGAAATCTGCTTTCATTTTTTGACAGCTTTTGAGAAACTAGTATTAGAGCAGAGAAGTTTCATCTTCTAAACTTGGCACTGTGCTACTCAAAGACTAATGTTTAAGTATGTAAAAATAATATTAATTATGTAATATTGAATCCTAAATTTAAGCAGTGACTTGAATATTTATCTCTGTTCACTTCTGTATCTCCAAGTCTACTTGTTTAGGAAATTATTTTTATACATTTTCTAACACAATAAAGCTTTAAATTTTTTGTTATTATCTATCAAACAATTATTTATAAGTTTATATTAGTGGAACTAGTTTTTAAGGTACACAGACACATAATAAGAGTTTATAGGGACAATCAATAAAATATTTGCAGAGGAAATAGATTTAGTTAGAAAAATGCATAGAATTTGAATAGGCCAATTACACTGTATGTACGTGTTGCATACATGCATGTGTGAATTTGAGGGGTCAGATATGATCAAATTTAGCAGCATGTAGTGTGTGTGTGTGTGTGTGAGAGAGAGAGAGAGAGAGAGAGAGAGAGAGAGAGAGAGAATGAATTGGAGAGAACAGATATATATGGCTGAATTAGGTTTGTGCCTGTTTAGTAAGGAGGTTGCTTGTTTGGTTCCTAGTTGCCCGGCTAGCTTAGACCGGAAATAATCACACAGAAACTGTATTAATTAAATCACTGCTTGGTCCATTACCTCTAGCTTCTTATTGGCTAACTCTTACATATTAATTTAACCCATCTCCATTAATCTTTGTATCACCACGAGGTTGTGACCTACCAACAAAGTTTCATCATGTCTATCACCAGAGGTGGATCCATGGCGTCTCTCTGACTCGGCCTTCTTTTTCCTAGCCATTTCGTCCTTCCCCCCATCTAAGTTCTGTCCTATCAACAGGCCAAGGCAGTTTTTTTATTCATTAACCAATAAATGCAACACATAGAGACCTCCTACACCATGCCTGTGTGTGTTCTCTGTGCATGTGTGCGTATGAATTGGAGAGGGCAAATATAACCACATCTGTGTGTGTGTGTGTGTGTGTGTGTGTGTGTGTGTGTGTGTGTGTGTTTAAGAACTGGAGAGGGTAGATACGGCCAAATATAGCACAGAGAGAGAAGGGAGTGGGTGGGTGGGTGGGATTGGAGGTGACCAAATATAGCAATATGCAGAGCAGAATAATTTTGTTGCACATTATGGAAAGTTAAGGGATTTATATGAAATATGTACAAGATTAAGTAGACAGTTTTAGCAATCTTGGTACAAGAAGTCGTTAAGTGCCACTTGGCACTGCTGAACAAGGAGGCAGTAGAGTAATTGTGATAATTTGGGAGCCGTAATTTAAGGGGTAGTATTCAAATTTGATAGGAAGCAAATGTGACTTGAAAATTTAAAGAAAATTGAGTCTACTACAATAAACCATAAAGATGAGAGGCTTGATTAGCAGTTAAAAGTTGAAAAAAGATTAATATAAAAAAATTTAAAGGAAAATTCTTTTGTAAAAAATAACTGATTTTCCTCTTATTGTATAAATTGTAGGATTATCAAGATTTACTTGCAGAATTTTAGCTACTGAAACTAAATTAATAGTGGTATTAATCATACAAATCAGAAAGTTTTGAAGAAGAGTTATGTATGAGAAAGAATATTTTTGTTTTCTTTGACATTGAATTTAGCTGGTTGGATATTTAGTCAACTTTTATTTTTTTTGTTAGAGAATTTATACAAGGTAGTTATGGCACACACCTTTAATCCCAGCACTTGGAAGGCAGAGGCAGGGGATCTCTGTGAGTTCAAGGCCAGCCTGGTCTACAAAGGTGTTCCAGGACAGGCTCCAAAAGCTACACAGAGAAAGCTTGTCTCAGGGAGTGTGTGTGTGTGAGAATTTATGATTGCTTTACTGGCAGAGGAAAAAATGCTCAGGTGATCCTGAGTTTCTCCTTTATAGTTCTTTTGGAAAATTCAAAGGATAGTGTTTATTACACACAATGGAAAAACTGAGTTTTGTGACCAGTTTTAGTTAGGAATTACTATAAAATGATGTGCAAAATTTTTCTTATTTACATTACATCTTGGCATTCAGTTGCTTCTCATTCTCATTATTTTCTCATATACAGATAAATGACATTTCATGTAGACTGATGCTCAAATACCTGCCAGGGATTTTAATCACAGAGAATCTTAATTTAGTTATTAGTTCATTAGTGTTCATGCTAGTGAATATGAAGTCATGATGTTTAACCTTGGATATATTCTAATTGCTTTTATCTTATGCTGATTATTTAAAATGCTTTTTTTTCTAAATTGATTTTCTGACGTTTTGTTTTATTTCTTGAGACAGGGTTTCTCTGTGTAACAATACTGACTATTCTGGAACTCAGTTTGTAGACCAGGCTGACCTGGAACTCATAGAGATCCGCCTTCCTCTGTCTCCAGAGTACTGGGGTCAAAGGTGTCTGCCACCACAGCCCGGCATGTCACCTGACTTACTTAAACAAAGGCTTTCATACTATATGGCTCAAAATAACTAATTCTGCTATTTCTAAATTTATAGTTAAAGAATAGCTGCTGAAGCTTTTGGGCTCTGACTTTTGTCTGAATTATCTGGGCAGTAGTTGAAATTAAACTTTAAATTTAAGGCCTATGACAGTGCTGACGTCTGTCATTACAAGATATTTAAAAAAACTTCTGGAGAACTCCATTTCCAAATTTGGAAAAGGGAAGTTTTGAGGTAAACAATTCTAAGAAACAAATTTAACAAATTGGGTTGAATTGTCAGTGACAAATTTTTATTAATATGATGGGAAAATATCCAAAAAACAGCAGGGAAAGTTAATTGTTTGTTGCACCCTTATAAAAGTCATTTTGTATGTATTTCTTTGACTTTTTAAGAACAGTTAATTTGAAAGGCCCATGTTTTGTTTTATGCACTAATAAACATTAGTTTTAAATACCAATAATTTCCATTGTTGTTATAGCATTTTTCTGTGGCTGAGTTTATAGATTCCAAGTTGAATAATAAAAGTTTTCCTTCTTTCTCCTCCTCTACAATATGTTTCAAATACAGTGTTTATGTTCTATCCAGTGTTCCACAAAGAGCCACAAAATAGTGACTCTTCAACATAATTAAAAGTTTTCAGAGTATTTTGGAAAATGGTATATAAAATGATAGCTCTAATAACTTGGAGTTTTTATTAGTCTGTTTTGTTAGTAAATTGCTTTACTAAGGCTGCCAGCAGTCAAGCGGTAGTTATTAAGTGCACCTCTACTGCTGACGTTAATTTACAGGGGTCAACAGGACAAAACTCTGCGACATGATCGCTGATCTGGGAGATGATGAGCTGCCCCACATCCCTTCAGGAGTCATTAATCAGTCTAGGTCAGCCTCTCCTAGAATGACTGATCATGAAGGTGCAAGAGCAGAGGAAGGTACAGCATTTAGCTATCATGTTTGTTTGTATTGCTGAGTTCCTTAACTCCATATACAAATATGCCATTGTGTAAAATGCTAAATATCATCCCACATGATCATTAGAGGCCTTGGGCAAGCTCAGGGATGAAATATGGCTTCCAGTTCTTTATATTTGTTTTTGTTTTCATGTTAGATGTAGCTGTTTCCATTGTAGGTCAGTTCATTGTGCCTTCCTTAAATCTAATTATAGCTTAAAAATCTAGTATTAGGAAAAGAACAATTTCTAAAACTAAACTTTAAATAATATAGGTGAGGGGAAGCTAATTCTTAGTAGTGTGGTTTAAATGTAACAACTGTTAATAACCACCACTTAATAGAAGTGCTAGACAGTGTGTTGGGGATCTTACATATTATTCCTAAAAATAAATGTAACCGTTAATCATTCTAGAATAAGGAACATCATTCTGTAACTTTGTGTCTAGGATTCATGGCCTAGTAATAAGTTTTCTAAAATCCGTCTAAACCAGAAGTACATAGAAAGTGAAAATACTAAAGTATTTTGAAACTGATTTTACATAAAAATACATGGATTTAATTGACTAATTTATAATTCTGGGTGAAGATATACTTCTAAATAACCTCAGTTTTTAAACCAAATTACTTTAATATGATGTATATGTGATAACATTAACAATTTTACTTAGATTTATTTTATTTATGCTTACACTTCTTGCTCTATAAAGGGATTTGTGTGCCCATCTCAAATTTTTATATACAGTTTGTTCTAATTTCTTACTAGATATTTTCTTTACAGTAAAACTGAACAATTTTTCCTCAATTTATGACTTCTTACCTTTTTTCTTTAATTCATATTAAATTTTAAGGAAAGATTTTAAAAGATCTCTCAATAAAACTAATACAAAAAATAATGATTTTTTTTCTGTATTCATTTTCTATGTTCACTGAGCTTTTTACTTTTACTATTTTCTAAACTAGAGATACCAGCTCTAATATTTTTATTTTTGTCTTTGGGATCTTCTTTTCCCAAGTATTGTAGTACAGTTTACTAACATTTTAGACTGTAAAATTTGCAGTTTAAAGCAAAGTCAAATTAGTTATACGAACCCTTTTTAATGTTTCACACCATTTTAGGGGGAAAGCCCATAGGTTGATTCTACATAAAAGGTGATTTGGAGCTTTCTCTGTGTGTTTGTCAAGTGTTATGACTGTGTTTTTTGTTTTTAAAGAAAGTAAGTCACTAGTCGCTTTCATAGTTGTGTGAGAAGGTGAATGGGCACCTTGAACTTCATTACATTTTAAAAGAGGGGCTCTTCCTAAAATTTGTCATTTAGAGATTGGAAAATTGCAATCTGGTTTATTTTTATGACAATTTTCATTTTGGTGCTTTTGGAAAAAACATTTTGTGTCACATTTTCATTTATAAAGAACAAATACTTGTTTTCTAGTGTCCTAACTTTTAAAAACTGTTGCTACTACAGACAAGATTATATTTCATATTTACACTGGCATGATTAGAATCAGTCATTGGCCACTATGTTGTTTAGGTTTGATAAAGTTGTAAGAAAGGGCCCGGGTTGTATCTCAGCATCACAGTACTTGTCTAACCATGTGCCAGGACCTGGGTACAGCCCTGCAAAACACATGCAGAGGCACACTGGAAGAAAAAGGAAGAGTTGATGCTACAAAGTTTCCTTGTTCACGCTGTCTATCAAAAGAATTTATTACAGGACTTTTAAAAAGGACCATCTTAAAAAAAATACTATTTTATAGGCTCTAAGATTCTCACAAAAGACAATTCTGCTAATAAAAATTTCTGTCATTAAGATAAAGTTTATGCCGTTGGTTCTAGCACTTGGGAGGTAGAGGCAGGAGGATCTTTGTGAGTTAGAAGCTATCCTGGTCTACATAGCAAGTTCCAGGATGGTCAGGTCTATATAGAAAGACCCTATTTAAAAACTCATTTAATAATTTTATTTTAAATTGTTGATTATATTTTTATGCTGTGTTATTGCTGTGGGTAATTTTTATTAACTTAAAATAATATGCAAAATATATATTAATTCTTCCAGCAGAGATATAAGAGCAAAAAATTAAAGATTTACTGTGATTACTGTATGCTCCAGTGATGGGTGATAGGGAAAGCAGAAATAATAGCTTAAAAGATTTTGCGTATATACATACGTGAATAAATATTAAAAGTAATATAGCTTGCTAGATGTAAACACATGTGTTTCTATAGAGAAAAAGGCACATAGATATAGCTTCTGTGATTAACTTTAGAAATGAGTATAGTATTTTTTGAAAAATAAGCCAGAAAAAGAGAATGGGCCACTTCTCTTTTTATTCCTGGAAGTTGGTTAATGGTTGATCAGAAATAATCCCACAAAAAGTATTTGTAACGAAATGAGTTGATTGGTGATGGTAAAGCTATTTTATTGGACTTTTAAATTTGTGTTAATAATTATTTGTATAATTGCTACTGGAAGGAATTGTAGAATTTTATCTTAAATTGTTTAAAAACAAATTATGAACTTAAATTTTTAGACTGGTAAAAATTATAAAGTAAAATTTACTTGCTGACTTTCTTGTGATTTTTAAACTATTAATCTTATAGTTCTTAGCTGCTTTTTGCATTATCAGTAACTATGTACTAACATTGATAGCGATCAGAACTATGTATTGTTCAGATTCAAGTACAACCATTGAATGATGGCTTGGTAATCATAGTAACTTGTAATCATTTTTTAATGTGTGGTATACTTACCAGCTCACATACACATTGTATATATTTTATGAAGGGTTTTTAAATTAGAGTAGTTGCTGAATTACACCTTTGTTTAAGGGATCACTTGAATCAAATTACACGGAATAAAATAAAATTCTAAATTAAAAATGAATTTTACTTTGGTAATAGTATATATCAATTGTATGAGTTATTTTCAGTATTATTAGTGAATCAGTATTAGTGTATTCCAGTATGCCTGTTTCCTGTAGTGTATTAAATACATGCCATTTCGTAAGAATTTTCCATAATTTATTAGCCTGAGTTTTTTAATAATTTTTAAAAATTAGTTCATAATTTTAAATATTTAGGTTCTTTTGTAATTAGTGTTTCCTTTTTGCCATCTTAATGCTACTATTTTGATTGCAAAGCACATGCTTAAAATTATCTTGGATGGTTGCTTACACTTTAACCTATCTAGTTTAGTTATTCAAATGATTGCACTTTCATTCCAACTGCCTTGTCAGTGTAGAAAGCTGTACGCACGAGACACAGGCGAGGCAGCTCAGTGAAGTGATACGATCCTTTCAGTTTTTATTGATACTCACTCAGCCATCTGATTGGAAACCTAAAGTCTGAAGTTAACGTAAATTAGTTTTTAACTTTAGCAACATCATAATATATAAAAGAGGGCATTAAAATGAAGCCATAGGGAAGTTTTAAAATTGGAAGGCATTTCTTTTAGGATACTATCATCAACTACTATCTTTACTAGATCATCTTGGTACTAATTGAAAGGCTGTGTCTCAGAGTGTCTGGAAGTATCATATCCAAGTGCTCCTTCACTTCTTTAGAAAGCAAAGGGACTTCATAGTAACTTATGCACTTTAAATAAATCTACTTTGGGGTTGGTAGACATCTGTTCCCTATAAGTGACTGAAATCTGATGATTTAATCAAAAATTGTCCCGTTAAAATTTACAGAGGTAGTAAGGGATCTAAATAGACAAAATGTTTATGTTCTGCCTCCACTCTGGGTTGATGTGCAGTGTTTATTCAGTCTGGAAGATAATCATTACCTTGTTGTTTTAGCATATTTATTTCTACTCAGTAGTAGGATTTTCTTTTTGTGTGTGGAAGTGGGAAGTAGAATTCATAATATTGCTGAATTTTGTGACTGTTTCGTGCTTAAATTCCCCACAATATTGTATTGTACTGTATGATTTTTCAGCATTTAAGAAGCGGTTTTGTTCTTTATAGCTGAACCAATAACGTTTCCATCTGGAGGAGGCAAGTCATTTATTATGGGTTCTGATGATGTTTTGTTAAGTGTACTGGGCCTTGGAGACCTTGCAGACTTGACGGTAACAAATGATGCAGACTATAGTTATGATGTAAGTGCAGTTTTATTTTTAATTTTTTAATGATTTAATAGAAGGCTCCTTATTCTTTGGAATCATTTATAACAGAGAATTAATGTCAAGGTGCATGGAAAAGATAAGTTTAAGTGTGCAGATGTGTTGATTTGAAATAACGTGTAATTTTGCTTTAAAATTTTTTCTTTGTGGTGTTTAAATCTTTCTTAGTAATTTTGGTGGATTAGGTAGGAGTTTAGGGTTATTACCTTAAAATACTGGTTTTTAATACTTAATTTGCTCATTGATAAATACATCTTGAGTAGTTAACTTATTTACTGAGTTGAAGCCATATTTTATGCTAACAAATAGACACTAGAGAAATTAGGTTTTTCCATCAGGATTAATCTTGAAAGCCATGTTTTGTTTTTTTGAAAGCTCTTTTTTGTCAGTCACAACCAAGTTAGTTTGTATCATTTCCTGAATGTTTAGCTTCTCTTGAGGGCTAGAAAAAGGAGATGGGAAGAATTGTGTTAGTATTAGACTAGCATTGATTAAATATTTTCCAAGCATAAACACTCATTAGAGAGTTAACTATATTTTAGATATTTTTGCATTTTACCTTAGTTTTTTCAGCAAAATTTTCAGCAAAAACATTTTAAAAATTAGACTTAAGGTAGGATGTTTTTTTTTTAAAGATAACTGCCTTGGTGGGGTGGATTATTCTTACTAATAATTTTAAAGCATATTTGCAACTAAATTGGTAAACTTTTAGCTGCTTTAGAACTGGTGTATCTTTACTGATGTAGAAGTAAAAGGGAAATATTAAGCTTTATTAATATCAAAAATTAGGAAAAGTGCTCACCTAGGATGCCCAAAGCCCTGGGTTTGATCCCCAACACTACATAATATTGACAGGGCAGCTCATGCCTGTAATCTTAGCATTTGGGAGACAGGCCAGAAGGATTGGAAATTCACGGTACTTAGTGAGTTCGAGGACAGCAAGCGCGACACAAAACTCAATCTTTCAAGGAAATTAAGAAAAGAAAGATTTAGGAAAATAGTCATAAAGAGATTTTAATTTTAGTTCATTGTTTTAAAACTTAAGTCCCTTAACTTTCTGCCTTGGAATTATTCACATACTTGTCAATTTCCTAAATGGAAACTATTGTGTTCACTGTACCCTTGAATAGCTGGTAATTTTTATATCCCTGTTTTGCTTTCTTGTAAATCCTTATGGCAGTGGCAGTTTCCTGTTCTCACCTGACTTTGATAGGAGTGGTAGAATTTATTCATTCATTCATTTATTTATTTGATGGCTAGATGAAAACAGATCAAGGAATTCTTTGACCTGGGTATTTGAAAATTTAACAAAATTATTTTTCTGAATTCTTATATAAAGATTGACTTGTTGTGAATTTTAAGGTCATTAAAATAGCCCCTGGATATTTTAATGAGACAGTTTTATATGTTTTAAACACACCAAAAAGAAAACAGAAAAAGTCCACGTGCTTACCAGTTTATTACTTTTACCTGTAAATAGTACACTTTTTTTATTTTAGTTGCCGGCCAATAAAGATGCCTTTCGAAAGACTTGGAACCCCAAGTATACACTACGTAGTCATTTTGATGGAGTCAGAGCATTAGCTTTTCATCCTGTAGAACCTGTGCTGGTTACTGCCTCTGAGGACCACACCCTGAAACTTTGGAATTTGCAAAAGACAGTTCCTGCCAAAAAGCAAGTATTTTAATATTGATTGCTTTTTCCTTCTAATTTTGTTCATATGGATAATTCTTCTTTATTATCCTGTGTCTTTAGTACATCTGCAGTATCAACCAGTGATTCATGATGATTTAATGTGTTCTCTTCCCCTGTTCTTTTTCTCCCTCTTTTAGGAGTGCCTCTTTAGACGTAGAGCCTATCTACACATTTAGGGGTCACATGTAAGTTTTTTTGAAATAGTACTTAATGAGCAACTTTAATTACTGTTTATAGTTAGTACTCTCAACCTAATTTACTCAATACTTGATGTTAGAGAAGACATATTAGTTGAATTTGATTAATTATATTTAAATATGACCTATTAGTACTTTTCAGTTGTATGTTTTGTTTAGATACCACATAAATGAATAGATGAAGGGGGTAAGGGTTTGAGTTTCTTAGAATTTATAAGTAATTTTCCCTCTCTCTTTCTGTAATAGTGGCCCTGTTCTTTCATTAGCTATTAGTTCTAATGGAGAACAGTGTTTTAGTGGTGGTATTGATGCAACCATTCAGTGGTGGAATATGCCTAGTCCTAATGTGGATCCCTATGATACATATGGTAAGTAAAGAGGCACAATGGGTCTTTTTAGTGAATAGAGCTTTCTATGGGACAATGGTCTGTACCCTGTCACTTGTATTTTAAATAAATGCTGATTGGCCAGTATCAGGCAGGAAGTAGAGGCGGGGCAACAAGTATTTTGGGAAGAGGGAAGTTTCAGTCTACAGTCTTCAACCAGACAGAGAGGAAGCCAGACACAGAGCAAGCAAGATGTGACTGCCTCGCCAAAAAAGGTTCCAGGCCATGTGGCTAATACAGACAAGAATTATGGGTGAATATAAGTTATAAGAGTTAATAAGAAGCCTGAGATACTCGGCCAACCCGTTTATGATTAATGTAGAACCTCTGTGTTTATTTGGGACTAAACTGCTATGGGACCTGGTGGGACAGAAACCCCCCCATCAACAAGAGCTGACAGAATTCTATAGTTCAAATGTTATTACCGAGTTGTTCAGACATATAATTTGTTTATTGTACTTGCTAGAAAGTTTATTTAAAAAGATAGATATTGGTGTTGGAGAAATAGCTCAGGGGTTAAGAGACTCAATTCCCAACATCTACATGGCAACTCAAAACTATAACTCCAGTTCCAGGCGATCTGCCACCCTCACACAAATATACATGTAATATATATGCACACATATATACTAATGCACATAAAAATAAATATTTTTTTTTTGAAGAAAACTAATCATGCTATGAATATTTTATTGTTTGAATTAGTGCTTTATTGTATCTAAAACATTTATTAAATATTAATTTCAGTTAACAAAAAGAAGAGGGGAAAGTTATTGAAGTAACACATTTTTAAACTTAAGAGACAGTATGTATAATCCTTAAGTGAAAGACAACAGAAACAATAGGGATAGAATGGTCAAGGTATAATTCATTACATCTTCATGGAGGACCAAAATTTTTTAATTTCAAAATGAAAAGCAAAATACTCATTTTTTAAAATAAATGACACTTTGAGAAACTTGATTAAAAACTTAAATTTTTACATGTTCAAATACATTAAATAGGCATTGTTTATAATGACTATAAAAAAAAACAAATGTTTGAGCTCTTTGTTATTGTTGGCTAACACATGCTTAGTGCCCACATTCTGTAATGTAAGGCATAATGGCAAGTACTTCGTTCAGAGAAATAAGATGGATGTGAAAAAAGCAAGGGATTAGGGGAGGGAGGGTTTATGATGAATATATTTTCTAAATGACAATGAAATATAGTTCTCTGTACAAGAGTCATCTAGAACATCTTTAGATGAGAGGTCAGGAGTGCTGTCTGTCTTTAACAATGGCATTCAAGCTAAAGGTTGAAAGTCAAGTTATAAAAAGTTCTAAGTCCAAAGAGACTTGAAAGGGATTGATGGCAGCTGCAGTCAAAGGTAAAAATTAGGAGTTACCTAGGAAACAAGAGGTGGCATTGCCAAGATAAGAATGGTTAAGAAGTAGGCTTAGTGTTGCAGGGATAGCTTGGGAATTAAATGTACTTGCTGTTCTTGCCAAAGACCGGGGCTCAATGTCTAGCACCCACTTAATGAATCACAACCATCCATAACCTATCTTCTAGGGGGCCCTTTTAGGACCTCCATGGGTACCAGCCCACATGAAGCATACATAAATACATATATACAAAACACTCATACATGTAATATAAATATTTTTTAAAGAAATGGGCTTAACATATATTTGTTAAATACAGTAATATATAGTGATTTATTGATAGGTTGTGTTATTCTTGGTTTAATTGTGTTTGAAAAGGAAGTTTTATTGGTATAATTGCATTGGACTGTAACTCACTCTGTATACCAATCTGGCCTCAGACTCACAGAGATCTGCCTGCCTTCCTTCCCAAGGCAGCTAAAATTGGTTGTTATAAGGTATTAATTTGTTAGTTTTTACTGTGTGCTCAGGATTGTGCGGATATTGCCATGTTGTAATTTCAGAACATTTTCATCACCAGTCTAGAGCTCTGACTTTGTCTGCTGATGACTGTGTAGATAGTAACACTCACTGAAACAGGGATAGAGTACAAGAGAGAATGACTATGAATGAGAGAGACTATTAAGATATGGGTGCATATGAATGAATATCAATCAAGAGATGATAACCTGAGACTTAAGTCGTCACTAAACCTGACATTATCTAGAGGAAGGAGGACATTGAGAATGGATTAATGGATGAATACCTAAAGAAGAAAATCATTTTGAGAAAGAAACAGCTCACGGAGATTTTTGACAGCTAGCTGGAGGTTAGATGCTTGAGTATTGACCTCCGAGAGAACCACCTTAACATTTCAAGTCAGATTTTATGAATGAAAAGCAATATTGAAACCAGAAAGAATAAATGCTTTGTATTATCAAAGAAAAACAATTACTGGGTTTGGTAGAATTGTGGTCACTGCTGATTTTAGCATGAGGTGTGGTAATGGAGTGATTTGACGACCACATGGTGGTAAAAGATAGTTTAGTTTTCAACAGTTTTTCAGAAGGTGGTGGTAGGGATAATGTTTTTATTGTTGAGGTTCAAAGAGTCTGCCTGCATACTTCTTTTTTAAAATTAAATTTTAATTTGTGAATACTAATGATTCAACGGCAAAGAATTTGTCTAGTGAAAGTGTATATAGATAAGAAAGTAAGTTTGGCTGAGTTTTAGAATGCACCTGGTAGGTTTGTCCTTAATAGGAAGGACAACTTTTTACTTGTATCTGGAAACAAATAGGGTTTAAATTTATTTTATTTGTATTTGTATGTGCACATCTGTGTATGTATGTATTATCCATGTGTGCCATGCGGTGCACCTGTGGAGGTTAGAGACAATGTCTGGGAGTCTGTTACTGGGCTCCTTGTGGTGAGTGCCATGGAAGCAAGAAGATGGTTTTTGACATTGGTTGAAGTTGGGTACAGGATGCAAGAGGGGTCCCTTTTGAATGCTGTGTTTTCTTTGTATTGTGTATGTCATAGTCATTCACAATAAAGGAAAGTTGGGAACTGTGAGGCTGAAGGAGATGGTGATAAATAGGAAGAGTTAAGTGGAAATAGAGGATGACTTAATATGATACTCATTTAGCTCTCAGATCTCCCATCAGTTGATAAATGGTCAAATAAGATGTGCTAGCACCAAACTGGAATGTTACTAGGCAATAAAAAGAAAGGAAGTAGTACTCTAGAAACTTTAACACAGAAGATCCCACTCTGTAGATTCTGTTCATACAATGTGTTCAGAAAATAGCTTTGTTTACACAAGCCCACTGGATCTGTGGTCACCTAGAACTTTAGAAAACTAAAGAAAAGTGGAAAGGAAGGTGGCTAACAAGTAATTAAGTATCCGGAAAGTGGCGCACACCCTTCATCCCAGCACTCGGAAGGCAGAGGCAGAGGCAGGGGATCTCTGATCTACAGAGCAGGTTCCAGTACAGACAGGGTTACACAGAGAAGTGCCTTTTCAAAAACTAAATAAATAAACAGATAATTAATTAAGTAAAAATTAAAATATCCTGAAAGTCAGTACAGTGAGAGTTCTGAACACACCATTGCTGTGCCATTTAAGTGAGTAGTGCAGGTCTGTAAATTGTAGCTCAATTATGGCTGATTTTTTTTTTTTGTACTTTGTAGAAATTGTGAATGTGTTAGTATTAGTGTTAGTATTGTTGGAATAAGTGATAACAATCACCCATAATTCAGTACTTAGAAATAGTCACTGTTTGTGCTTTGGTTTGTCATCTTGTGGTTTTTATGTTTTGTTTTGCCTTTTGAGACAAGGTCTTACTATCTAGTCCTGATTGGCCTTGGACTTTATGTAGACCAAGCTGGCCTACAAAACACATAGATCTGCTTCCCAGGTGCTGGGAAAAAAGGCATTCACCGTCATGCCTGGCTTTACATACATTCCTATTTATTTATTTATTTATTTATTTATTTATTTATTTATTTATTTATAGTTACCTATTCGCCAGACTTCTTCCAAGTAATGTTTTGTTTTGTTTGTTTCTTCACAGAGTCAAATGTTCTAGCTGGCACTTTAGTTGCTCATACAGATGCAGTCTGGGGTCTTGCCTATAGTGGCATAAAAAATCAGTTACTGTCTTGTTCAGCAGATGGCACTGTAAGGTTATGGAATCCCCAAGAAAAACTGCCATGTATTTGCACTTACAATGGAGACAAGGGTAAGTAAAATTTGCCTCTTCAAGAGCAGTTGTTGTTGTTGTTTTTTTTTTTTTTTTAGCTTTATCACTTCTTTATGTTTCTCATGTATGTGCACATGATTGCAGGTGCTCATAAAGGCAGGATTGTAGGATCCTTTGGAGTTAAACAGGCAGTGTGAGATACCTGACAGGTGCTGGGGAGAGAAGTCTGAGTAGCAAGCATTCTTAATTGCTATGCCCAAAGAGTCTTTACAAAAAGACACACGGTATTTTGTACATGTATGTGTGTATAGGCGGGCAAGGATAGAGTACTACTGGAAGGAGTCTGTTCTCTCTACCATGTGGTTTGTAGGTGTGGAACTAGTGAAAAGGGCCTCCTCTGCCTGCTGTGCATCTTGCTTTCCTGAAAAGAACATTTGTTTAAAAAAAAAAACTAGAAAATAAAAAAGATAAAGCAATTGTTTATTGATCCAAAGAGAAATGATAAAGAATTTTATAAAACTTGCCATCATTTTACTTAGTCCTGTTTTACTGCGAGTGCTTGGCATATGTCAGCGAAGCTCAGTGCGTTTTGGCCTTTTTCAGATCATGTTTTATTTTTAAAAAATAAGCATACTTGCATCTAACAGTAAGGTAGACAAATGGTACTACTTACAGGGGCCATAGGAGACAAGGACAGCCACCCTTACGGACTGATGGGATATAGTCTTGAGTACACCTGCCTAAACACTTTGTGTGCCGTGGCTGAGAACATAGGTGTGTGTGTGCAGGGTGGGACACCCTTAATGAGAAGCACAAATGGGATTGCTTTCATGATTTCAAAATCATTTTAAACAAATAGAATATTTTTGTATTTATTTTATGTGGAGAGTAGAGGACAACTTGAGGCAATCTACTCTGTCCTACTCTGAGTCTTGGGGAACAAACTCAGATTGTCAGTCAGGCTTGACTGCAGGCATCCTTACCTGCTGAGCCATCTTGCCAGCCTGGAAATTTTTTATTATAGGAAGATTTACTCAGCTTTACTTTTGGAAGATGCTTGTATATGTCTTTACAATACTGTCAGTCTTATAGTCTGAGTTTTTCAAATTACTTTTTTCATCAGAATTTTGATTTGAACTTAAATATATATTGTTTTAAGACATCTTAGGTGAGTATAATATGTTTAATTTTATCTTTTTTGTATTTTGGGATTCTATGATATTTCAAATACCCAGACCTTAAGAAGTAAAAATTAGATACTTCTTGCTTCATCCAGACTTGTAATTACTGGACTCCAGATTTACTTACTTGCTATTTGAATTTAATGCATGTTCCGCTTTGGGATACTGTTATGCCAGTGCATTTCATAGTCCAAGAATTTACTTTATTATTATTATTTTTTATTTATTTTATTTTTTAGAGAGGGTCTCACTGAGTGGCCTTTGCTGGCATGAAATGCACACAGATCCTTCTGTCTCTACCTTTGTAGTGCTGGAATTAAAGGTGTGCTCCATTTTAATAGACCCAGATTTTGGCTTGTATTAACTCTTTGGCAAAACTTAATATTTGTCAAGAGTCTTCCAGGAGAATGATACAGGAGAATTCCAGGTTTCAGTTTGTTTTGGTGTTTTTGTTTATCTCATTGTTTTTTGTTTCCATTTTTCCTAAGAAAATTGGCAAATAGTTTAAATGAATAGGTTTTTTTCATTACCTTAAGAGAAAGTATATAGCAAAATAGGGGTTACGCCATGTTAGACGAATAATTTGTATATGTCTCTACTTTTATATTTTTTAATGTCAAATAGAATAGTATAAGTAAAAAGTTTTTAAATAACTGAGAATTATTGCTTACCACCTTAACATATTGCTTTCTCTTTCATTATTGATATAATTTCAAAATTTTGTGTGTATGTGTACAGATAAATACATATGAATCTATTTTGGGCTCCTTACAGAACGTGGAATACCTACATCAGTTGACTTTATTGGCTGTGATCCGGCTCATATGGTAACCTCTTTCAACACTGGTAGTGCAGTAATTTATGATTTAGAAACATCACAGTCATTGGTGATGCTTTCCTCACAGGTAGATTCTGGTTTACAATCTAGCAATCACATTAACAGAGTAGTAAGTCATCCCACACTTCCTGTTACAATAACTGCTCATGAAGATAGACACATCAAGTTTTTTGACAATAAAACGGGTAAGGCTTCGGGTGATTGAAAGTACTTACTGTTCTGTTAAATAATGCACATTGCCTTTTGTTTTATGAAGTCATCAGGGTAAACTGTTTTGAGGTGTTGGGAATTTGCACAAGGTACTTCATTACCTCACCACAGATCTGCATTCCTGCTGCTAAGAAACTGTAACTCATTTTTTGCTTTGTTTAGTATATTATTTTACAGTGTGCAAGTTTTATTTTTGATTATACATAATATTTTGTCTAATACTATTTCTTCCATTTTCATTTGATAAAAATTCTTCCGTTTGAATATTTTTTATGTTGTTTTAAGATAGCAAAATATATCACTTACTTGGTATTTTGAGCTTTTTTTTTTTTAAGATTTGTTTATTATGTATATACAGTGTTCTTCCTGCATGCCAGAAGAGGGAACCAGATCGAATTATAGATGGCTGTGAACTGCCATGTGGGTGCTGAGAATTGAACTCAGGACCTCTGGAAGAGTAGCCAGTGCTCTTCACCTCTGAGCCATCTCCCCAGCCCCTTGAGTATGTTCTTAAAATTGTTTCTCAACCAGTCATGTTGGTACACAGCTTTAATTCCAGCATTCTAGAGGCAGAGGCAGGTGGATCTCTGAGTTCAAGGTCATCTTCTTCTATAGATCAAGTTGCAGGACAGGCTTCAAAGCTACACAGAGAAACCCTGTCTCAGGAAAACAAACTGTTTCTTAGTGACTCAAATGATGTTGTGGTGGGTACTATTTGCTGTCATCTTTATGGTATACCTTCTGCTGAATCATAGATATGTGTGTGTATATAGAGGGGGGGGGGAGGTGCGCACCTTTTTTTTCTTGATATTTATTGAGCTCTACATTTTTCTCTGCTCCCGTCCCTGCCTCTTCTGCTCTCCCCTTCAACCCTCCCCCAAGGTCCTCATGTCCCCAATTTACTCGGGAGATCTTGTCTTTTTCTACCTTCTACTTCCCATGTAGATTAGATCTATGTAAGTCTTAGTGTCCTCATTGTTGTCTAAGTTCACTGGGATTCTGGTTTGTAGGATGGCGTTCTTTGCTTTATGTTTAAAAACCACCTATGAGTGAGTACATATGATAATTGTCTTTCTGTGTCTGGCTGGGTTACCTCACTCAAAATAATGTTTTCTAGTCCCATCCATTTTCCTGCAAAATTCAAGCTGTCATTTTTTTTAATTAATTTATTTATTTATTATGTATACAACATTCTGCCTCCATGTATGCCCACATGCCAGAAGAGGGCACCAGATCTCATTACAGATGGTTGTGAGCCACCATGTGGTTGCTGGGAATTGAACTCAGGACCTCTGGAAGAGCAGTCCGTGCTCTTAACTGCTGAGCCATCTCTTCAGCCCCAGCTGTCGTTATTTTTTCTGCTGTGTAGTACTCCATTGTGTAAATGTACTACATTTTTTTTTTTATCCATTCTTCAATCGAGGGGCATTTAGGTTGTTTCCAGGTTCTGGCTATGACAAACAAAGCTGCTATGAACATAGTTGAGCACATGTCCTTGTGGCACAATTGAGCATCCTTTGGATATATACCTAAAAGTGGTATTACTGACTGGGTCTTGAGGAAGGTTTGTTTCCTAATTTTCTGAGAAATCGCCACACTGACATCCAAAGGGGTTGTACCAGCTTGCATTCCCACCAGCAATGCAGGCGGGTATCTTTGAGTTCAAGGCCAGCCTGGTCTACCAGAGCTAGTTCCAGGACAGGCTCCAAAGCTACAGAGAAACCCTGTCTTGTTAAAAAAAAAAAATGCCTTATTTGTATGAGTGTTTGCTTGCACATACATATGGGTATCATGTGTATGCTTGGTGCCCAAGGAAGTCAGAGAAGGCCATTATTAGATCCCCTGCAACTGGTGTTACGAATGGTTTTCAGCCATAATGTGGGTTAATTCATTTGCACTTTCAATTTTTGTGTGTGGGTATTTTGCCTTCAGAGGTCAGAGAGGCTGTCAGATCCTCTGAAACTGTCATGGTGGTACTGGAGACCAAACCTGAGTTGTTCTCTACAAGAGCATAGGTGCTCTTGATCCCTGAGCCAGCACACGACCTCATTTGCACTTTTAATAACTCTCTAGTTGTACAGTACTGCATTTTCTCAGTTATGGAAGATGTAATTTGTCATCTTTTATTTTGTTGTTAGGGAAGGGGCGTATGCTAAAAAATGAATCCAGGCCTTTGACATTATAGGGCAGATATTCTACTACTGAACTACATCCTTAGTTAGGAATCCACCCACTTTAATGGTTGGTTAAATGAGAGAAGCTGCAAGTATGCATTCAAATATATGGGCCTATGGGAGCCACTCTCATTAAGATCACACAGGATTTGGAGAGGAAAGGGTCAAAAATGATGGGATTATGTTATAATCTCAAAATAAGAGAAAAGAGACATGAGATTAGAGGATTGGATAAAAGGAGTGCAGAATGAATTTGATTAAGCAAAATATTACATAAAACTCAAAGAATTAGTAAAAAATTTATATTAAAGTACTATGTCAAGTAAATTTTATGTTGCTGAGGTATTAGCAGGTCCTAAAATTAATTGTTAATAACATTAGTGATAATGAGAAACAGCTGTGGCTTGAAATCAACAGAAGCATCTCCATCTCCTTTTATCTTCAAGTTGTAACTGTTTAGTAGTGCCAAAAAAACGGTTCCTCTTTTCTAGTTTTACATTCAGTTCAACAGTTGTGGCTCAGGGTAAGTAAGGAGAGTAGGTCTCTTTATATCCCTGTATAAAATGTCATACAGGGCCAACACTATGGCAGATGATCATAACTTAAATTTTATAACTTAAATTTACAGGACTTTCTGTAAATCAACATTCTAATGGTGCTGATTAAATGGGAATTGATTTTTATAAAGTATCAGTATTGGTTATTTTTATTTCCTTTTTGGTTTTTTTTTTTTTTTTTTTAAGGTAGCATTTCTCTACGTAGCCCAGGCTGGACCACACTGTGTAGATCAGGACAGCCCCAAACACACAGAGATCCACATGCCTCTCCCTTTGTAGTTCTGGGATTAAAGGAGTGCATTTTCCGGTCTAATCTGTTTGTTTTTTTTGTTTGTTCGAACATGTATTTGTATATATGGGCAGATGCATGTGGAAGTCAGGGGACAACTTGCAGAAGTTAGTTTTCCTTCCTGGACTCAAATTCCGGTGGTTATGCTTGGTAGCAAATGCCTACCTGATGATCCCACTCGACTCCAGAACGAATCAAGTTATAATTGCTTTTCCTTCATCATGTTATCAGAGCACAGCTTTTTATTGAAGTTTGTTTTAAATTTCAACTTGGTGAGTTGGCCCAGAGGTTAAGAGCACTTGTTTCTCCTGCGAAGGACCCCAGTTTGACTCCATCAGCACGTGCCTTACGACTGCCTGCAGCTCCAGTTCCAGGGTTTCCGATGCCCTCTTCTGACATTTGCAGGCAAAATATTCATGCACATGAAGTTAATCTTAAAAAATTAAACTGTAGACACACACAATTAAAAAATAAGTGAATCTTTATTGCATGGCAGACTTTATGGTAATACAGTACATACCATTCACCCCAGAAATCTAGGACAGACCAAAATCATTATTTGTCATTGTACTTAAGTCCAACTGGATGAGCCAGAAAGGTCTTCTTGGGGTTTACTTAACAAAGTATGAGTGAGGATACTTGCAGGAGCAGTAATGGATCAGAAAACATCAGCTGCAGTAGGGAAAAGCCTACCTCAACATGGGTGAGGGGTGGAGCTCTCTGCACAACTTGTAGACAGGTCCACAGATGGAGGAAATCTCTGAAAAGATGCTCCATCCCCAGCAGTTTTTACTATTTCTAGAAAACTTAAGTTTTGGAGAAATGGATCCGTGTCCAAGAGTATATATTGTTCTTATAGAGGACCTGAGTTCAAGTCGCAGTGCCCATCTCAGGCAGTTCTAACTGCCTGAAACTCCAGCTTCAGGAGCTGGCACCTTTCTGACTCCCTTGGCACACAGGCAGACACATGTACATTCGCATAAATTAAAAATAAAAAAAAAAGGTGGGTGAGGCAAGATTTTCAAGTCTCAAAAAATTAGCAATATTAAACATTTTCTTCAGACTATTAGTGTAGCAAATACATCTTAAAAAATGTTAGTGAAAGAAGTCAAACAGAAAAGCCACATATTCAGAATCTATTTAGTATAACGCATCCAGAATAGGCCAGTCTCTTGGAAGAGTATATCATTGTTGCTAGGAACTGTTGCATACTGGGAACAAGGTGTTCTTTTTCAGTGATGAGGATGTGATCTAGATATTGGTGGTTGCCCACTGTGAATTGTGTACTCCCAAATGGTTAAAATACTAATCTTTATAAAACTGAATATTTTTCCAAAACGGAAAGTACTTGTATGGTGATTGTTTTATGTTGATGGTGTTTTTCAACTTCTGCCTCTCAACATTAATCTTTGTTTTGTTTTATAGGTAAAATGATCCATTCAATGGTAGCTCATCTGGATGCTGTTACAAGTTTAGCAGTAGATCCTAATGGCATCTATTTGATGTCTGGAAGTAAGTTTGAACTTCTGTACAACCCTCAAACTTTATAAAAGAATTGTTACTCAGTAACAGCTTTATTTGTCTCTTACAGGCCATGACTGCTCCATTAGATTATGGAATTTGGACAGTAAGACATGTGTACAAGAAATAACAGCTCATAGGAAGAAATTGGATGAATCAATTTATGATGTTGCTTTCCACCCATCAAAGGCATATATCGCCAGTGCAGGAGCTGATGCTCTTGCCAAAGTATTTGTGTGAACCAACATAAATTTGACTGGTCAGAAAGGGGGTCTGTCTGCATCACTGCCATCAAGAAAGTCACTGATACGACACTACATGTGCTCTGCTGGGTAAAGCTGCTGGGCAGACATAATTGTTGGGAATCACATCTTCATGTCAGGCTTACTAGTTTAACTGTAATTAACTGTATTTGTGGGACAGAAAGAAAAAGGACTCCAGTATCTGTGCTGTATACTGGATATGAACTGAGCGTAATTTTTTTTTTAAAGGTGTTTAAGCCAATGTGGAGTCTGATCTTACAAAAAAATAAAGGTGTTTTTGTTGGACTCTGTGTGCTGCCTTAGGGTTAGGAATGTGGTGCTCTTGTGGGGAAGCAAACTCCAAGAGTAGCTTTTCATCTCTTAGTGATCTTACGTTTATTGGTTGAATGCAACAGATTCCCTTTTAAACTTATTTTGCTTTAAAAAAAGAAAAAAGAAAAAAGAAAAGAAAATTTAACTTAAAATATTTTAGCATTAGTTGCACAAAATGTTTGGATAAAATTCTAGTTTTTATAAGTCTTTTTATATATTTAGCCTGTCACAACAGTGATCAAGATCATATTGATGTTTTTCTGCATTATACAGCCCTAAAACACAGAGATCTCACTAACCTGCCACCTATAACCACTTTCTTTCCCCCTTTTATGACTCGGGCCCCAGGGCTGAGTCCGAGATACACTCTGCCTTCAGGCCCATAATATCCAGAGAGGCAGGCAGATCTCTGTGAGTTCAAGGCCGGCCAGGCGGTGGTGGCAGACGCCTTTAATCCCAGCNGGAGTTTAGTACTCCAAATGAACTCTTTAAAAACTAATCTTGACATCTATCACTATGTGATATTTTGTACATCTTACTGTATTTACAAGTTTATTTATCAAGGATTATCCATCTTGCTAATGGCCTATTATTTATTTCACTTTTTGTTGGTCTTTATATCCTTTTTTTAATGTGCTAAGGGAACCTGTGTATCTATTTTGGAGCTCTTTGAACAGTCTAAAATAGACTAAAAATGGAATATTTTATAGTTAATGTACAAACCAAGGTGTTTCTCCCTAAGATACTGTCTTGATTTACCATGAATCCAAAACCAAAACGATCTAGTTTAAAAAAAAATTTGGAGAATATTTTATTGCTATTACATATAGGATACTTTAAAAAGTTGAATCAGGATACAGAAGTCTGCTGGGATTGGACTAGTTTTCCCTGTTTCATTTTTTTTTAGATGTGCTTAATTTTATGGTGTAACTAAAGATTTTCTTTGTGTAATGCATGATTAAGACAATAAAGTATTTTTTTCTAGTCTTCCAAAAACCTTTTCTGATCAGTTTGCGAGTTTTGATGAGTTTTGTAAGGTTTTTGTTTTACAGACTATGAATCAGCAAATTTTTAAGATTGTACCACAAAGCAAACGTACAGCTGTTGAGAAATAATGTATATAAAATGCATATAATAAATATTGAATTGTGTACCTGTATGTTGCTGTTGGCCGCATCATTTCGTGTTGAATAGTAAAGTACAATACTCTCCACAATTGAAGTAGGAAATGAAGGTAATTTCTTAGTCCTTCATTTTATGCTGTTCTTTTTATATTCCTAGTAGTTACTGATGTCCTAGTAAGGTTATAACACAAACACTATTTTTCTATTTTGTACCACTTGGGGAAGCTGTTGTGCTATTAAAAGAGATGAAGGCCTCCAGTGTCATCCTCATCCACTAAGTTTCAGATACACAATTTAAAGAAACTGCTTAGATAACCTATTATTTAAAAACAAAACAAAAAGCCGAGTTTTACTTACTAGTAAATTGTGTTGTCTTACTTAACTTAGCTGTTTCCACAAAAATGTACACAAAGAATAAACTGCATTTGCTTAGTAAATAGTTGTCCTTATAAAGTTAAAAGTTAGCTATTTGACAGAAAGAGCTTCAAGATACTAACCCCCTTTCTTAGAAGAAATTGCAAATGGAATAGAATTAGGCATTGCAGAATTTACATGCAGATTTCTATTTGGATTCCTGCTTTAAAAATTATACATTGAAAATTCTTTAGAAACTCAGTTGTTGTTGATAAAACTCTAAGACTTCAGAATTAAAAAAGTAACTGTTGGTTTTGGGGTCTGGGGTGGTGATTCAGTGAGTGATTGCCATTGCCATGTAAGTGTAAGAGCTTGAGTTTGAATCTCTGGCTCCCATATAAAAAGTGTGGCGTGGCTGCATACATAGAACCCCAACGTTGAGGGGCCAGAGACAGGAGAGTCCTGAGAGCTCCCTGGCAAGCCATCCTAGCCCTAAAGGTGAGTTGTCTCAGCGAGCACATGCCCATCCCAGCTCAAGGCATTAAGATGGAAAGCGGTGGAGGGGGAAGCCTGGTCTGGCCTCTGCATGCATTCATGGGCATACACTTGCACTCTCGCATGTGTATACCATATGTACCCAAGAACACAAAGCGGTTTCTGTTTTCTGAGCTGAAAAATGAAAAGAACTAAAGGGATATTCTTCCTCCATACTCCTATATTTAAATAATAAATTTCCTCAAGGCAAGTTTTGTTCTGGGAGCCTTCTGAAGCCCATTGCATAACTACTTCATTGTAATTTGCTTGTTACTGCAGGGCATAAACATTTGTGTCTTATGGTTTATTAAAACTGGATTTTAAAAGATAGTATGTTTTTTTATTTTTTTAGTGATAGCAAACAGATTAAAAGGTTGAAAAAGTCTTATTTTTGTTTTATATGTTTATTTATGATTTATGGAAAGTAACTTGACTTTATATATAAGTTTTAATGGTATTTTAGTATGTTTTTCCCTCCTTGCTGTTGAATAATTCTGTCTCATGACTGTAGTTACTTTCCTCATTTCAAGCTTTACCCAACATCTCAACTCATTTGGAAGCTATAAAGTGATGTGCCAGGCGTAGGTATGGTGGCTCTTATGACTGTAAGGTTGGCGTGGGATGTGCAACAAAACATTTCAGAATGAGCTAGACATGCCTGCCGAAACTGAATTATAATACATCTTTTTAAAACTTGATTTTTAAAGCTTGTAAACTCTGCGTGTCTATAAGCTTAGAATTGAAGAGGATGAGGCAGAAGATTTTGATGAGGCCGACAAATTACTTTGTCTTAAAAGTAATTATTGTATATCCTTAGTTATTTTTGTTTACTTACAGAAATGCTTAGTATCTTAAAATTTTAATTCCTCTCAATCGACAATTAAATGTTAGCGTCTTTGGTTATCTGAGATGTTTCAAAGTTTTGTCCTTTGTTGAATTAAGACTTGTAAAAGAGCTAATGAATGGAAACTGGGGTTTCATTTGCTCAAGGGAGAGAATTTAGGAAGTCAGGTTAAATTGAACCTATTTCTTATGGTAAGATTCTCCTTGTTCACAATGAATTGTTTGCAGCCTTTGAGGGGAGGAGGAATGCTCTTTTTATTAAGCCTTTATATCGTTTTGGGGGCAATCTCTTCACATATAATCCTTACTCTCTGTCTGGGTTATGAAATTTGGTACACTCCAGGAAGTCATGAGTCTACAGCCAGTGCCTTTCCTAGGTCAGATGGTAGTCAACAGGTTGACAGGAGAGGCCAGAATCTAGCTTAGAGAAAGTAGCCAATATGAAATGGTAGATTCTTGTGGGAGAGCCCCTGTGGGCTCTAGTCTATGCTGAGTGGGTTTTTGATACTCTCCTTGACATCAACTTCACAAATATGGTTAAGTTGTTAAAAAGATATTGTTTATGTTTCTCTTGAAGCAGGTACTCAAACATGCCCTAGTGGTTAAATCTGGTAGTCTACAATAGGTGTTCAGCATGTAATTGAATGAAATATTATACAACTTAATTCAGATTGGTCATTAGCAGGAGTAGAATGTTTATCATAGAAGAAAAACAGTAGTGTTAATAAATAGGCACTTAGTCACTTCCAGTTTTATTGTTGACATCCAAGCTATTATGCCAAGTATTTTTCCTGGTACAATACTTGAAACATTTTTCAAAAACTTTCCGTGCTTAAACATTTTCTCAGTTCTTGGAGTACATGCCTGTCTATACACATAAAATTAAGGATATAAATAGAAAAATACCAGGCAATCCTATCTTTACTCAGTGTGGTATTTTCAGCCATTAGTTATGAAAACACTACAAAAGAAGCTTGATACATGTTCCATATAATGTGTATGAAGACTAGTACATGAAATAACAGCTGTCTGTTGACTGGTTCTAAGAAAGCATTCACATGGGTCAAAATTACAGTTGATCTATGTTTAAAAGTTGTTCTGCTCTCCTTGCACAGTCAGTATAGAGTGATTAGGGAAGGACCAGTGCTGTGTCTGACTGGAGCATACATAGCCACTTTGAGTATGCATGTTTGCAATCTTCAATTTAAACCCATGACATCTCTTTCCTGAGTTTCTAAGGACCCTGATTATCCTCGGCCAATCTAAATTTGGAGCTTCAAATGAAAGCTCATTTGCTTTAAACTGCTGTTGACATATTTACTGATCCTGGTAAGCTATAAAGTTACTTAGATATTGAGAATACAGTTTGCATATTAGATCCTCATGTACTTATTCTTTTGAGTTGTCAGAGTATCACAGTTATTGCTGGGATTCTAAGAAATCTCTACAAATGCCTCTAATGACATCGGAGACAATTGGTTCTAATCCTGTGAACTCTCTGGTAAAGAAAGCGTGTGACTCCTTGGGTTTAGAGGCCATATCTCTCAGGTCATCCAGAGGTGCCCAAGCCACACCAACAGAGAAGATGGTGATACCTACAATGGAAATAATTTTTAAGTGAGTTAAAAATAGGTCTAGCTTACATACAAAGTTACATATTCATATATTAATTACATAATTATATATAATGAATATATAATATATTCATATATTAATATGTAACCTCAGAAAACGGCTTAATTTAAATGAGATCTATGCTAAGTTTTCTAGGTAGACTACAGACAGTTTGGTTGTGGTGAAAATAATTTGGTCAGAACCAAAAGCTTTGCTATTAGCAACTTATTATAATTGGTGAAAATACCATGATGCTCAGTTCACTAAAGACAGTGTGTTGAACATCGGAGCAGAAGGACCTCATCCAGCGGATGTTTGTAAAGATCCTACACCCTGCATGTGGTTGGCAGTGAGGAAAGACCCTGCTACTGTCACTGTCAGACATCATTTTGAGCTCTTAATAAGCACATTAAATTAAGCCTGGCACAAAAAGATACATAAGTGGGGAAGTTTGCATTGTCCTAGGAATAGATTCTCGTGATAAATGTTTCCTCTACTTCAGTCTTTGAAGTATTGACAAATCCAATTATCAAAAATTGTAGGTTTTGCCGGGTGGTGGCGGCGCACGCCTTTAATCCCAGCACTCGGGAGGCAGAGGCAGGCGGATCTCTGAGTTCGAGGCCAGCCTGGTCTACAAGAGCTAGTTCTAGGACAGGAACCAAAAAGCTACAGAGAAACCCTGTCTCGAAAATCAAAAAAAAAANAAAAAAAAAAATGTAGGTTTTGGAGTTAGAGAGATGGCTCAGCAATTAACATTAGTTGCTCTTGCACAGAACCTGTGTCCAGTTTCCAGCACCCACATAGTTCACATCCATCTAACTTCAGTTCCAAGGGATCAGATGTCCTCTTCTGATCTTCACAGGCACCAGGTGTACACATGGTGCACATAAGTCTTAAACTGCTAGTCTTTTTTAAAGCAAAAATATGTGGCGATTAAAAAAAACTTCCAAAGGGATTTTCATGATGCCTGGAAGAATTGCAGTTCAATCATGGAAACTCTAAAGCTCATTGAATTTAGTCCATACTGCAAGGATCCTTTCCACAAAAATGTCTGAGCCTATATTGATGTAGAATTCATAGGACCCCTTTTGTATCTCTAACACAAAGGATAACCATCTTACCTGCGTCGTGAGCAGCTGCAGCGGGGCCTCGGACATCATCGTAGGACTGCCCATCTGTGACAATCACCAGGAAGTTTTTGTTGGGGCTGTCCCTTATGGGGCCAAATACATTTCTAACAGTAAAGGAAATGGCATCACCAGTAGCTGTTCCTCCACTCATATAGCGTATGTTTCCTAGGACAGCTAGAACATTCTCTTTGGTGTTATAGTCAGTGAAACTGAATTCTGTGCGCTGATCATAAGTGAACTGGACAGCCGCTATCTTGGCTCCAATGTCTGAGATTTCAAATGTCTTGGCTATGTTAGAAACAAATTCCAGCATGAGACGGAAATTGCTATCCCCTACACTGCTGGAACCGTCGATTAGGAAGGCGATATTCACTGAGTTGTAGCAGGTCTTGCTGCACATCATCTGCTCGTGAGTGCAGAGCTTCTGCACCAGAGGCTTCACGTATTTTGTGGTGCCAAACCAGTTGGGCATGTGATAAGAGAAGAAGCCATTGTTCCGACACACAGCCTAAAGGGGGAAGACAAAAGATATCCCCAAAATAAAAAGTTTAGTATTTTGCAAATAGTGGTGTTGGAGAATGAACCTAGAACTTACATATGTATCCCCAGCCTTCTTGCTACTTCTCATTTTGAGATAAGGGTCTTAGTTAAACAGGCTGGCCCAGGATTTGTAATCCTGTCGTCTAAGCCTCATTGAGTAGCTGGGATTGCTGGGCAGTGGTGGCACACGCCTTTACTCCCAGCGTTTAGGAGGCAGAGGCAGGCAGATGTCTGAGTTCAAGGCCAGCCTGGTCTACAAGAGTAGCTGGGATTACAGGTCTGTTCTTCCACGCCCTCCTCAAACATTAAATATTTGTACATTAATCTAGTTGTGGGCTTATCAGTACTAGGTGTAAGAGGTCCCAAACTGAGTCACTCCTGCCCATTACACCTTACCTTGTCAACAAATGCAACATCCTGAACCATCCCCAGTTCTTCAGGGATGGGCTTGGCCACAGAAACTATAAATACGTTGACACCAAACTCTCTGGCCACAATGCCTGCTTCCTCAATGTCATCAGAAGGCCAGCCATCAATAAACACCACCACCACTTTTGGTATCCCTTTTCTCACCCCTGCGTCTGCTGTAAAGAATTTCTGAGCAGTGTGCTTCAAGGCTTTTCCTAAGAACAGAAGCAAATGAACAGCATTGGTCACGGCTCAAATGACATTTCGATTTTAGGTAGCAATGCCATTCAATTTAAGAATTTAACTTATGGAATTCAGTTAGTAAAAGATCTATGAAATGGGAAAGTTTGATTGTCCTTCAGACCTATTTTTGGTCTTCACAACCTACACTGCTTCCCCCTCCACCTCCCAGAAGTCTCACATTCCCTTCTATCACTCAACGGTAAAACATAACACGCCCCGCCCCCTCCTGTCGTGCTCTCGCCCCTTACTGGCCTATGAGGGCAGCTAGGGCACAAGGAACCCTCCAAAGTCTGCTCCGTCTGCCTTTGCGGTTAAGTCTGTTCATCTTTGCTTACAAACAGTAACTTTCCTAAAGAGCACAATGCTGTAGGTTTTTAAATTTTACTTATTTATTTAAGAATTATCAGCACCAGGCGATGGTGGCGCACACCTTTAATCCCAGCACTTGAGAGGCAGAGGCAGGTGGATCTCTTGAGTCTGAGGCCAGCCTGGTCTACAAATTAAGTTCTTGGATAGCCAGGGCTGTTATACAGAGAAACCCTGTCTCAAACAAAACAAAACAAACACACAAAAATAACAAGCAAAGAAAGAATTACCGGCTAAGCCATTGGCATGTTTTCCACTACAGAGAGCTGTCAGGTGAAGGGATGCAGATCTAGCTAACACAAGACCTAGCAGGAGAGAGTCTCTAGATGGCACTAAAAGTGGTAACTTGTGGTTTTGGTCTCAATCATCCCCTATGCTGAGCCCGGAGGTGGTGCACTTACCTGTGTTGGAATTACCCCCTCGGAAACCTACTTCTTTTATGGCAAACAAGACATCTTTGGCTGAAGTAAAGTTTTTCAGGTAAAATTCTATTTTGGGATGTTCACTATAAGAATGAAAAAAAAAGTTTTTAGGAAAGAAAATAGTTAGACGGCCTTTTTTTAAATTACTGGTAGAGGACCAATGTTCAATTCCCAGTAGCAACATAGCAGCTCACAACCATCTGATTCACTCCCTAGCATCTAGCATCACTCACACGACCCCTCTGGGTACCAGGCACACACATGGTAGAGAGAAATCGATGTAGGCAACATAATAGAAACAAACCACATATAAGAAATGTAAGAAAGAGTCGGACCTAAGTCTTTTTTAAATCACAAAGTATATATGATCAACTTGTACATTGCTTCCACTCACTGGGAATGTTTCAGAAATGTAACAAGTATGGTTGCTACACTCCAAATTTATTATATTTTAAATAATAGCTAAGCATTTGCAATTTCATTTCCTATTTTCATGAGGTGGAATTATACTAATCATTTAAAGAAACAGGCTCAGAACTCACGGAATTTGCCTAACAGAATATGTTAAATTCAGACTCAATTGCTTCAAATTCAAGTTGGAACTGGCGTTACAGACTTCCTGTGTGCAGCACGGTAAGGCAGGTGTGGCTGTGCGGTCTTGGTGGCACTCTCCAGGGTTGGGCACCAGGTATGTAGGAAACAGTTGGGTGTGAGCGTACGTCTGCTCCAGTGCAGAGCCCCAGAAGCATTTAGCTGTCTATTAGCCAAAAAAAAAAAAAACTGACATCTGAAAGTATTATTTGTATGTGGGTGTTTTGTCTGCTTGTTATGTCAATGCATATGTGCATGCCCGATGCTCACAGCAGCCAGAAGAGGGCGTTAGATCTCCTGGAACTGGAAACAGATATGTGTAAGTGACCATGTAGGTGAACCTCGGTCCTTCGGAAGAGCAACCAATGCTCTTGATTGCTGAGCCTTATTTCTAGTCCCTAAGACTGACATTCTAAAGATGGGAAAACGTACAAGGAAATGTATTGTAAAAACACTGCAATGTAAAACTTTTCTTACTAAAACGACAACGGCACTTGCCAATCCTGGTTATTTAAAGAATTTCAGCTCACTTTTAACTTTATTTTGTTCATTAGAGATCATATCAAAGACTGAGGAGATGGTTCAGTCCAAGACATGAGTTCAATCTCCAAAACTCATGTAAGGAGAGCTGAGCGTGGTGGCTCAGATTTGTGATCCCAATGCTGAGGAGGCGGATGCCTGGGACATGTTGGCCAACCAGCCACCCTACTTGGCGAGTTCCAGGCTTATCAGAGACCTATCTAAAACAATAAAAAGTGGATGGGCATCTGAAGAATAAAACATGGAGTGTCCTCTACCTTCTGCACCCATGTGTGTGTCCACCTGCGCGCGCGCGCACACACACGAGGCCGAGTAAAACCTTTGTAGTCAGAATTTCATTAAGTGCAAGTTTTTAAGCTTTAAGCATAAGTAGCCATTTTAACGTCGGGCTTTATTGTTTGTTTGCTTGCTTGCTTTAAGACAAGCTCTCCTGTTTCATCTTTCTGGGCTGTGGGACTGAAGATGCCTGTGACTATCCCCGACTCTTCAAGATTCTGTGAGTGACAGGGAAGACTTTCTCCCAGCCCACCTGCTGGATCATGCAATCCGATGGCACGGTTTGGTTACTTAGGTAAGTTTGTTCACTCTCAGTTATTCAGATTCTGACCTAAGCCAGTCATCTTATTTTTGCACCATTAATGATGCAAAGGTCACCCTGTTCTATTTATATATTTATTATATAGTGACATTTTGTGTTTAACAAAGCTTGCCTGAAGATCAGAGTGCAGAGCTAAGCCACTAGAGGCCAGGCAGTGGTGGCACACACCTTTAATTCCAGGACTTGTGAGACAGAGGCAGAGGGATCTCTGTGAGTTCAAGGTAACACTGGGCTACACTTGATTGAATCTGTTTAAAAGAGAGACAGAGCTCACACAAAGTGGGATCCCATCACTAGGGAGGCGGAGACAGGAGTGATATGGCTGGGCAGAGAGAGGAATATAAGGCGGGAGGAGACAGGAGCTCAGAGCAGTCTAAGGATGCAGTCTGAGGTGTGGTCTGAAGGGGTCAGTCAGAGGACGCAGTCTGAGAAGGCAGTCTGAGGCCAGGATCTGAGGATTCGGTAGAGGTAAAAGGTCTGTCTAGTGGTTGGATATGCTGCTTCTCTGACCTCTCAGCTTTCACCCTCTAATATCTGACTCTGGGTTTTATTAAGAACAATCAGAATCTATGCCATAGTGAGCTCTTTATTCTAGTGCTTCCTAAAGCAGGAAAACGTGAGTATATAGGTTAATGCAGCTTTCGTTTTGAAAAAGCATAGGGTTAAATTAGTCAAAACAAATCAATGTAAGAAAAAAAAGTCATATGGGAGAGTTGAAATATACAGGAAATACACTTAGAAAATGTATCAGGACCTAAATCAGGCACAGTGGTGCACGCCTTTAATCCCAGTACTTGGGAAACAGAGGCAGGTGGATCTCTGAGTTTGAGGACAGCCTGGTCTACAAAGCAAGTTCCAGAGAAACCCTGTTCAAAACAAACAAACAAAAAACAAAAACAAAAAACAAACCAAAAAAACCCATCTAGATCACCAAAATAATAAAAAATCAGTCCTTGACTCAAAGAAAATTGATTTTGCATTTAAATCAACATAATAAAGGGCTCAGTGTTTTAAAGGCTAGGGGGAAAATGACTAAATTATATAGAAAGGTTAAATATTGGGCTAGAGAGATGGCTCAGTGGTTAAGAGCATTGACTGTTCTTCCAGAGGACCCAGGTTCAATTCCCAGCACCCACATGGCAGCTCACAACTCTCTGTAATCCCAGTTCCAGGGGACCTGATACCTATGGCAAAATACTAATACACATAAAATAAAAATACTTTCCTTTTTTTAAAAAAAGAAAATTTAAATATCTTCAAAACAGACCCTATTATAAAAAGTAACAAATGGACTTGGGAGGCAGAGGCCTTGAATTCGAGGCCAGCCTGGTCTTCAGAGCGGGTTCCAGGACAGCCAGGGCTACACAGAGAAACCCAGTCTTGAAAAACCAAAGGGGGGCGGGGCATAACGGCTGGAGTATTAGTGAGTGCTCGTAGAGGGGCCAGGCCATCCTTATCCACGGCTGACAGTATTAGCTGCCTCACTCAACCTTCTAGAAAGCAACTTAGCTATTTTTATCAGACTTTGAAAGTGTCTGAACTTCCCACCCAGGAATTCAGCAGAATGAAACAGTCAAAGCTGGGAACAAAGCTGACACAGGCTTCTTGTCATGAGGTGCTGCGTGGCAGTGGACGGCAGGGGGAGACGGTCTCAAGTATGCAAAGGAAGTCTATAAGACAGCGTGCAACACGCATTCGACAGGAGAGAATGCTTCAGACACTAAGGGGTGAGCGAACGGGGTCCAACACTTTCACAGCCTGAAATGCAGACAAGGGGAAAGCAAACGTCTTCTCCAGCGCCGAAAGGAAACACAACTTTACAAGGACGGGATCTGGAGGACTTGGTCTGCTAAACGCACTTCTTTGTTCTACTTGTCAAGCTTCCTCTAAGGAACATTAGTAGGTGCTAAAGCCACCACGATCATGTTTACAGGAATGAAGTAGAAGAGGGCACGTGTCGGACGGAACACGGTCCCTGGATTGCGTGGGGAGACTTCTGAGAGCTCGTGACCTCTGGCTGTTCTTGGATCATGCTTTCGTGCCCCCCCTCCCCCAGGTGTAGGTGGGTTTGCCTTAGACCACCCTTCGTCTTTCCCATTATTATCCAGCAGGATGCTTGTAAGCATGCGTGGTCCTCACGACTGCATACAGCCTAACTCGGGTGACCTTTGCCCCTGTGACGGTATACAGCTTGCACTTCGGTGAACTTTGCTCATGTGCCCTGCTTAACCCTCAGAATATATATTGTCTGATGCCCTAGATGAGACTGTAGTCCGCCTCACTCTCTCAGGCTGATGTCGCCATACTAGAGCCGTGACAGTCACGCTTTGGATCTCCAAGGAAGGGACACGGGAAGGGATTAACATTGGGGGAGGCTGCTGTTCATTTCCGGGCCGCCCATATAAATTGGCAGAGTAAAGAAGGGGAACAGAGAGCTCACCACCGCTTCCTCCAGAAAAGAAAGCCGGGAGCTGAGTGAAGCAGAGAAAGAGTTTGTGTAAGGCTTCCAGGCCATGAAATCCCTTTCCGGCTTTCTACAGTGTACTGGTCACTAAGGCCTTTTATGCCAGTGGTGCCCTCAGACCCGCACAGACTAACCAGACGGTCTTTTGTTGGTGGTGTTGTTTGCAGTGTGAACACTGCATGCGCATGCAAGTGCTTCAGATATATTTCCTCTCCCTAAGGACCAGTCTCACCATGCAGCTCTAGCTGGTCTATTTGCGATGTAGACTAGGCTGGCATCGAACTCACGCACAAAGCGGATATAAGGCTATCGCCTGCCTCTGCTGCCTATGTACTGGGGTTATAGGTATACACCACGATACCCAATCTTCCTGAGACGTTCCTAAATCCTGAATTATAGTTTGGGAATCCAGCTTGTCCAAACTTAAATTATATTTAACTGAAATTAATATTACAACTTGGTAAGTAGTTATCATTCAAGACAGCCATAATTACCCATTTTATTAAAGTTGGTACCTGGCTTGTACGAGGCCCACGTGTGGTCCTTCGGTCCCAATTCCCAGCATCAACGCCACTTTCCCAACGAAGTTCTTCTGCAAATTGAACCGGCGCTGGCCTATATTAAAGCTCCCATCGATCAGAAATGCAATGTCTGCCTTACAGTCTGAAGAGAGCCAAAGGAGGGCTTGTGAGTCTCAAGTGCAGCTGGAGGAAATGCCCCCACCCCCGCCCCTCCTCCTCCTTAGCTCTTACCTTTATTGCCAGTCTTCTTCTCTGGCGTTTTCTTGAGTCGTTTACCTGAAACAAAGGAAGCACTTGAGCACAAGCCCTTTGCACAGCAGGAACTTCCACCAGGATGAGCCTGGCAAGGAATGCCTTCTTAGAAAGGCCTTTTAAATTCATCTCAGGGTCTTCTGGACTGGAAAAGCAACCTCAGAACAGAACTGTGGCAGGCCTATGTATTAGGTATGTATCTATCCAAGGCTTTGATATCTAAACCCACAGCTGAAGCAAGAGTGGGAATGCAGAGACACATGTTCTTAATTTCTTCGACTTTAAAATGGTAGGGGCCGGAGAGATGGAGCAGCGGGTAATCTAGTTTTTCCTGCTCTTACAGAAGTCCCAGGTTTGGCTCCCAGTTCCACATCAAGCAGCTGAAGTCACAGCGCCTGTAACCTGAGTTCCAGAATAGCCCACCACCCTCTTTTAGTTCCGCCTTTGTCTGCACACACACCATACACATAAATACAGTCCCACACACATACACACATAAAACAAATCTCTAATAAAATAAAAATGAAATGGCCACTGTTTTGGAAATAGAGATCCCTGAACTTTTTTGTAGCGGCCACACACTGGTTTCTCTGAGTCACATGGCAGTGCAGAAACTAAGTGGACTATTGGAGCAAGGAGCTGGAAAGAGGTCCTTGACCGGTTTCCACACGTGGTTCATCAAATCAGGGAGGGATGGAACGGACTTCCTGGGACTTGGATGAGCTAGGTTTATGATAAAGAAGAGAAGAACCGTGAACTCTAAAGTAGAATGCTTCCATTCAAAGCATCAGTAAACGTGAGGCAGCTGCTTTGCTCCTCTGTGATATTAGTGTTCTGAAGGCAAGGTTCTACCAATGGCATTTCTAACTCCAAATGATGTGCCCGGCAACAAGATCGGTCGGTGTTTCATACCTGCAGGCGGATGGGCGGTGGACACTGCCCGTCCCGTGGCTTCCTGGGAACTGCTTTTTCCTTCTGTTGAGATGAGAAGTTTATTGTTTTTCTCTTCCCTTCTCTGCCATCAGAATGTTATGCATCTAAAGTTCTACATGATGGTTGGGGGCAATGGTGACTCAAATGTAGACATCACACTGACCATTAGCTTTGGATTCTTGGTATATTTGAAAAGATCACCAAAAACTGACTCTGCAGGTTTGACAGTTTGTTACCTGCTAACTATCTAGGCATTCAGACTGCAGACAATTCCGATTTCGGTTTCCACTGAGTGAGGTGAGATTTTTACTCCCCCAAAACTTGGGTGACTCTGTCCCATAGTTGACTTCTTAGCTACAAGATTCTCCATCAATCAAAAAGGCTGGTCTAAAGAAAGCCGAAAATCCCTTTGAGGGTGTGAGGAAGTGTTTGTGCACAGTTGAGAACAAGGAAATTGTACCTACTGGTCACCGCGAAGGAAGAAGGCCATCTGGAAAGCGTCTGGGACTGGACGCCATTCGCGTCCACAGAAGAATAGTTCTCTCGACCAGGAAGGCTGTAGACACGCACAGGTCCCCCGGAGCTGTCAATCACTCCCCTGCAATGTCAGAGCTAAGCTGAGACACTATCCCGTTGCTCTGATGGGTCAAGAAAACAGCTGAGTGGAGAAGTTGCCTAAGGATGCTTGCTCTCGGCCTCGAGACTCACGTTTACAGGAACAGAAGTGTCTGGAGAAAGGACCTTGTGCTGTCAAACTTTTTAAAGCGATGCTAAGGACACACCGGTACCCTGTTTCTTATCTCCAAGATAAGAATTAATAAAATGGTGCTAACTAACTGCATGTGCTCTTGGACTGTATTAGAAAAATCACACCCGCTCTTTTACTGTAGGATGGGGTAGCATCGGCTCACCGTACTGACAGTCAACAAGATATCTCATAACCCGAGTTCAGTCTCCTCATGTGGAATGCAGACCAAAGCTGGGTCTACTTTAAAATTTGAGATGGAAGCTAAAAACCCAGAAATCGTATGACACAATGAGGAATGTTTTAGAATCGTAGGAATGGAGCCATCAGGCACTTATGCAGAGCTGGAGAACCGGCTCAGTGTTTAAGAAGCCCTAAGATCAGTTCCTAGCACCATGAGGTGGCTCACAACCACAAGTAACTCTACCCTCCTAGGGATCCAACACCCTCGTCTGTCCTCCATGGGAAGCCAAACAACTATAGCACACACACACACACACACACACACACTTTTTATTAATTAATACATCTGCTCATTGTCAGACAGCTTCCCTTGTACATTTGGTGATGCCAAGAATACCCATGAAAACCTTAAGAATATATCCACCTCCTGTAGCCCAAAGGGACACAGAAAAGAAGCAAGCAGGTAGGAAATGGGACCAAACGGCTACACAAGGGAGAGACTAACTATGCTTGTACCCCTGTCCTCCCGCATGGCCCGTCCCACATGTTCCGGCTCACCTATGGACAGCAGCCCCACATATGCTGGACACCGAAGCATATACTATGTTCCCGAACACAGAAAATTCCTCGAGAGAACAGCCTCCTGGGCAGAGAACATCTGCTTTCTCTTTCCGGATATCCAGGCCTCTGGTGAAGCAGGTGATGGCAATGGGAACTGGAGAGAAAGGATTTGTTACACAAGGGCTCTGAAGGCTTCGTGGGGGAGTGTGGCAGGAAACTCGGAGATGGGATTATTTTAACCCCCTAGCTTCTCTACTTCCACCACAACACTGACTTAAATGTTGATGCTGTTTTAGATGTTAGCAAAGCAAAAGGGATTTTCAATTTAATCTAGGGCCCAGTTGCTACAGATGTCTAATGTGACAATATTCCCAGTTCTTAGTCAGTTTGGACAATGTAACAAAGTACATCTGAATGAGAAGGCAATGCTTGTCTTTGACCTTGTCCTTAGAACTACAAAAATCTCAGTTGCAATGAAACTGTTGACAGTCGTTTACCATGGCAGTAATTCTGGGTCGTGGGGTGTCTTCATAGACACACGCAAAAGTCTTGAAGCGACCCTTTCCATGGGGCTGTTTAGCCTTGTTACCTGATACTATCACCGCCTTAAAATCTCACGTTCACACAAGCCAGCCAGTTAACTGGTGCCTGGGTCCACAGAACGTTTATGTACAGTTTCCAAATGAGGAAATGAAAGTTATAGTGTTAATTAGCCCAAGGAGCACCCCACAACTCCCAAAGGACAGACACCAGGCAGTCCTACACTTACATCTGATTATATCTCCTCCAGATCCGACCAAAGGGACCCCTGAGGCAGCAAATGCTTCTTTGGAAAACCCTGAGTGGCTCACTCAGTCATTCCAGCACTCGGGAAGCTGAGGCAGCAAGATTTTTGCCTTGAGTTTGAGGCTAGCCTGAGCTACAGTGACATCACCCCCCCAAAAGCAAACAAAGTTACTATGAAAGGTGTTAATTTGTCAAATTACAACAGACTCCGAAATGGTAGCCTGCCAATTCACTGCCGATTAAACCGACATTAAGGTTATTGAGTACGATTTTCCAAACACAGGGACAAAGATCTTTGGAAACAGATATTTGGGGTGGGGATGGGGGATACAACATCTCCCTTACCCGACAAGACAGGATAGTTTTGCAAGTTGAGTTACTTGCCTCTGCCAAGGACCTCTGTGGGTGCTGCTACCTGGGCCATGGAAGAAGGGGGGAAGACTTCTCCCAGGTGTAATACCAGTTCCTCTGCTCAGTTAAGATCCTAACTCCGTACAGGAGTCCAGCACCTCTATCAAATAATCCCAGTCTTTCTTGTTTTCAGCGACCTGAGTGTAGGGGCCTGCAGTGACGCTAGAATCTCGAACCTAGTCTGTCTTAGAGCCGCTAACACTGACTCCCTTGGACAAAAGGTGAACACGGCAGCCAGGTGCGGTACTTACCATTTCCACTTTCAAGAAAAGCAAACAACAGATTTTTAGAAATGAAACTACCCCTTACACGTCGCAGAAAAGACACCGAGCCACACACCCTTCCTCGGGCTTTTCTACACGTGGAACCACCTCTTTTGAGGCTTCCAGAGAGCGAGAAGAACTGCCGACGGTGCTTCCATGGGGGTTACAGTACGACAAACACACAGCAAGGTGATCGGACTAGGTGGGACCAGGACCTGAGGCGACCCATCTGGGGGCCGGAACCAACCGGTTTTCCCAAGCCAGTAACTCGGGACTAAGAGACCAGGAGCTAGATGGTGTACTCCCGGGAAGAGTACCTGTCAGACCCCTGGTGCACAGGGGATGGGAGCGGATGCCTCTCCACCACTCTAGTCCGGCATCCCTCCGCAGATCCTCAGCCTCCTTCCCTCCTTCCCTCCCTGTCCTCCCTCCCTCCTCCTCCCGCATCCAACTCACCGGCTCCCTCGGCGCGCGCGAGCCGGGGCAGCAGTAGCAGCAGCAGCCACGCACCTGCGGAGAAAGGACAGCTAGGTGGCTGCTGCCTCCGCCCGCGCGGGCGCGGCGGCGAGGGCGCGTACCCACCGAGGCTGAGAGCAGGGATCCAGGACGCGGGCATGGCGGGGGTCTGCGAAGACCTGCGGGAGAGCGAGGCGTGAGCGAGGCTCCCCGGGGACCCCAGGGCCCCCGGGCTCCTCGGGAGCGGGCGAAGGCGGGAGAGCCTGGCCGCTGCAGATGGAGCAGTCCCGGGCACAGTGTGCCACCTCATATCGGCGTGGGGGACGCCAGGACACACAGATAGACAGGGACAGACCCCGTGCATCACCCCGGGTCCCGCACCTACGTGGGATCCGCCCGGCTGCACCCGAGTGCGGTAAGCGCGGCTCCGCGGCCGCTATAAAGGCCGGCGGCGCGCATGAGCACTGTGCGGTGCGGGGGGCCACAGGCGGGGGCTGGGAGCGGTCCTGGGTCCCCCGGTAGGGCGGTGGCCGGCCAGCTCCGCCCTCGCTACCGACACCCCCCCCGGGGGGAAGACCGGCGCGCTGGCGCCTCTCCCTGCGGTGTGGGGGTCCCCTGGGGAGGTGTGAAGGTAGCCGGTGGCGCCCCGGGATTTGGGGGTGGGGTGCATCTGAGCGCGCCTGGGGGCGCTCCTAGGGACGCGCAGGTCGTGCAGGGTACTGGACGAGGTGGTGGGTGACTGCCCAGAGGGAACTGACGGACTCCGCACGGTCGCTGTGGGGTGTAGAGCAGCCTAACACCGGGTCCTAGAAAACTTCCAACTTCGCGCCCGTGGGAACAGTGCTACCTTTAAAGTAAAACCAACCGGCATTTGGTGAAACACTGTGCTGGGAAACTTGTTCCACAACCCGTTACCGTTATTCTTTAGGGGCTCGGCCTCCAGACTTCTTTTCTGCGAGAAAACTGTTTTCCCTGACCGGTCGTTTGTTGTAAGGGGTAGGAACGTCGTAGAGTGCCCGCTAACCTCCAGGCAATATTGACATTTTTATTTACATTTTCTTTTTCTTCCTTTTTTTCTAGATCAGGGAAGAGTCCTTCTTGTTTGTCGGTCCAGTCTGTTTGGTTCTCTCTCTCTCTCTCTCTCTCTCTCTCTCTCTCTCTCTCTCTCTCTCTCTCTCTCTCTCTCTCTCTCTGTGTCCCATCCCCCACCGCCAATTCTACTATAGTCACTTTTCGTGATGGACGTGGAGAAAGAACGGAACTCAAGGGGGATGGTTAGCGACAGACGACGACCTGCAAGCCAGCGGAGGAACTCCAGACCTGGACAGCCCTTACTCTGGCAGTCCCCCCCATTTTTTTTTCTTTTGAGATTTGGTTTTACTGTAATCACGATGACCTTAAATTCACAATTCTCCTACCTCAGCCCTATGGCAGTGCTACTTCTGCACCTGGCTACAATACCTGTTTTAAAACAAGCTTTATTTAGTTGTAATTTACGTCATAGAATCCATCCATTTAAAGAACAGGATTTGGTGACTTCAAGTAAAGTTGATGATCCTCATCGTAGTCCAGTTTTAGAACACTCCGTCACCTCCAAAATGATGGTTGACGGGCATCCCTTTCTTCACCGCCACGCTCAGCAATCACTAATCCACTTCCTACCCCTACGGGTCTGTCTTTTATAGACATTGATACAAGTGGAATCATTCCCACACCAACAGGCCAGGTGTTGCGGGCACCTGTGTTGGAGTGTTGCTCACTCCCCTCTCAGATGGTCAGCCCTTGCCTAGGTAGAATGGTTTGATGTTTTCATCAAGCTGACTAAGGGTTTAATTCCTCTTACTACCCGTGTGTCTGAAGGGAAAGAGACAAAATCGTTTAATTGGTGGATCCGGCTGTGCTGGCTCCTTCTTTTTCGTGGCTTCTTAAAGGGTTCGACCTCTTCCATGAGAGAGCTGTGCTTTTCTTAGAAGTCCTATTAACCACCCCTAATGTATTCTTTGGGAGAAAGATGAGGACAATTAAAACGGTTCTTTTCATGATTGTTCTTTGTGTGTCCTCCACCAGGGTGGGATAGCCTCCTCCAGTCAGCCTGGGAAACTGTCATGATCTTGTAGAATTAGTTGCCAGGCAGCAACTCAGGCGCTGCTACTCACATCACCTGGCTGAAGAGGTGCAGGCAGAACCACCCAAGGGCATAGTCCCTGAGGCCATTCCACAGTGATCTGTCAGAATCAAAATTGTGCAGCTATTTCCATGATAGACCCCGAGTCTGTGACTTAAAAAATAGAGGAAATAGCTCATTAAGTTTCATGGTTGTTTACCCAAGAATTTTAATTGTTTTGTTTTGAAACATTTAAGAGAAGTTAGAGGTTAGTCTTTATTTATTTTTATTCTTTTGGAAAGAGCAACCAAAGAGCGTGGAGGAGTCAGGGTGATAGTCCCGTCCCTTGGTTAGTTTGTTTTTCCTGTTCACCGTAAGAGCATGGAGGGAAAATATGTGAATGTAAGAAGCCTGGCTGCAGAAATAACCAAGGCAAGGGCGAGCCAGATCAGCTGTCCTTGACTGAAAAAGACACATTGTTAAAGTTACAAGTTTGCTTCAGCTGGGTGACTTCTCAGAGCAGTGTACTCCCAGGATTGTTGGTTTATCTCTTGGTTTATCTCTCGCTAAGGAAGAATTCACTTATTCAAAAACCAGAGAGTAGCTGGTTCCTCACCGGGTTGCAGTTGGGACCATCTGGGGAACACTCAGCTGGGCTGTAGCCTGGGTCTCCCTTCCCGCTAGAGAGTCTGATGCTGTTGGTCTGGGCCGGGGCCAGAACCTCTGGCTGTTAAAAACCTTCAGATGGTTCCAGTGCACAGCTCAAGGCACTTAACACATAGTTCAATGTTTAACTAAGAAATTAGTAATTCTAATCTTTCACTGGCTTTTCGGTGTTTCATCAAGATTCTATTTCTCTCTGCTGACTACATTTCCCTGATGACACATAGTTAGTTGTTTAGGAACACTGCCCAGGGCTGGTGAGATGGCTCAGCACGGAAAGCTGGTGATTGTGCAAGCCTGGCCACCAGAGTTTGCTCCTGGGCGACCCATGTGAAGGTGGAAGGAGAGAGCCAACAGCCTAGACCTCTGACCTCACACACACCAGCACACAATAATAAATAAGATGAATAAATTCCTTATGAAAACAATGCCCAGCAGACAGGCTGGGAACTGAATTTCAGAAGTACTTGTCAATTTGGGGAGGGGAATTTGCTGTTAGCGCACATGCTTGCAAGAATGAGACCCTGGATGCCACCCCCAGGCTCCCCGCAAAATAGCTTTTGTTGAGAGTGTGACCAGGGTATGTGGTTCCGTTTCTGACTTTGTGTAGAGCCGGCCATGTCGCTAAGGGATGAGCTTCCCCTGACACTGACGGCCTGTGTGCCGCTTCAGACTTTTGGATGCTGCTGTTGGCTGTGAATGCGTTGGGAACAGTGTAGTTGTCTACTTGTATTTGCTTCGAGTCAGCTCGAGCTCCTAGTCTCCCTTCTGTTGGTGTCTCGCTCTTTGGAGAGGGTATTTTCTGAAATGTTGACATTTTGGCTATTGGTATTTTGTTTTCCATATTTATTATTTGATTGTTATTTATTTAGTGTGTGGATGGACCCCAAGGTAGGTTTTGCTTTTTTTTATTTTTTTAATTTTCCAGCATGATTAGTCCTGTACCAACTTGTGTACCACCGAAGCTCTGTAAACAGTTGCTAAGCACAAAGCCCAATTTATCCTGGTTTCTATTTTGATGATCTGGAAGTGAATATGTTCCCTTTTAGACTGTCCTACCGTGTCCCATCCCTCGCTACAGCTGATTAGATAGAGGGAAATAAACCTGGGCTCCTCTCATCCATGTATTGAACCAGCAGTTGTGAATCATTTTTTTTCTGTATCTGAGTTTTCTGGCTATTTTCCGTTTATTATTTCCTGATCATTTTCTGTTGTTACTACCTTCTACTGAGCAAGCACATACAGTAGACTTTGGGTTCTGGTGATGACTAGCAGCAGAATAAATGTTTAGAGCCTCTGAGGAGTGAAAACTAAAAGTCAATCCACGGACTAGCGCATGGTAGAGTCCTTGTCTAGTACACACAAGAGGCCCTGTGCTCAACCCCAGGTCTAGAACACTAAAAATAAAAGTAAAAAAAAAAAAATTGATCCAGAGATGGTACTGTAACCACCAGGCCTCAGCTTCTTCTCTTACAAAGTGGAAGGATTTAGATCAGCTATTGAAGACAGCTTCCTACTCGGCCCGCTTCGTGACTCTGCATACATGGCTGCCCACCCAAATGTGGGTATCAGGGGCTATGCTCTGCTAGGGGTTCAAAAATAGCCAGTTAACAAACACTGGCTGTGCCCCCAAGACCTTCATATTCTAAACATCCAGGCCAAGCAATAGTTTCTAAGATGTATGAAGAACAGAAGGCTACTCTTTTTTTTAATTTATTTATTTCTTTATTAATTAATTAAAGATTTCTGTCTCTTCCCCACC